GCGGGCTGTTCAAGGATCCGATGGTTGGACGCCCCGAATTGTTTGGATACTTCACCTGCGTGGTAAGCGGCTCACCCTTTCGAACGCAAAAGAACTCTTACTTATGTCCCATCGCACTCTTACCTGGATCGGGTGGAGGTGTGTTCCGATTGGACTTCATCCTGTCCAACCGTTTTCATCCTTTCCAGAAATCAGTTCAGAACCACATCACTGCCATAGTGAATTTCATTCGAACTCGCAAGATGGTGCCGCTCTCAGCCTGCAGTGTTGTGCATGGCTGGTCTTATGATGTAGTCCTTCTCGAAGGACCGATTGGATGCGCACATACGAATTCTGGTGCGAAAGGTTGGCCAATAGCATGTGCTTCATTGCGTTTGGTTCATTACGAACAAATGGGTCCGAAGCATTCATCCTACGGTTTCCAACTTATAATTGAAAGGACCGTGCTCAGAAAAGGGTGGTCGAATCATGTTTCTGGGCAGGCAGGCTCTTCCAGAGCTCCGCAGGTGACTCGTGCAAATCAAAAAGGCTTTTTGCCCGCGAGGCCACAAGCGATTTACGAAGTGCAACTTCACCAAGCGCGTAGCGCAAGATTAATCCCAACGTGCACGCCTTTCCTGCAGGGACAGTACTTCTTCGAGGGCAGGACGATGAGTAGTACCAATGTGGAGAAGGACCGGGAGGCGGTGCGCAGTCTGGCGGAAGAGCTGGTGAAGTGGGACGCGGACACTCCGGGGGGCCTCAAGTATGCACGCCTGGTCAAGGAGCGGGACCCGCCGGAGGACCTCGACCGGTGCCACTGGTCCACGTGGCGGATCCGGAAGGCCGGGGAGGCGGCCGCTGAGGACGGGGAGGCCGGCAGCGCTGATCGTGGAGACGCGTCTAGGGACAAGAGCTCGGACGACGATTTCTGGTGAGGAAGCTGGGAGATCGGTACATCAAAGTCCCTTTTCCCTAATGTCTCTTCACAGTCTTTTCGCCACTATTGTCGATGTCTGATTTCCGTCTGCAAGTGCTCTTCCGGGCTGTGGTTTCAAAAGTGTCGTTATCACAACCTTCTCGGTCAAAGGCGTTGAGAAACCGATCCGCACGTTGCGGACCTTCTTGCGGCCTGTCAGAAGAGTTCGACTGTGTCAGCTTGAAAGTAATCCGATAAGATAACCAGTAGGGGAGATTTGGCAGTGATGCACGTTGGAATGAGAGCTCGCTAGCTCCTCAAGAATTGCAGAATGTGTCTACAATGACGCCAATATTTGTTAACGAGGGCCCAATTCCTCGATTGTATGGTTGGGCAACAGTGCCGCCCCAAAACCTTTATGTAAAATTGGCTGGGATCATTCCCCGGAGCTGCAAAGCGCCGTCATTAAATCGCCCCGACTTGTTTCAATATGGCCGGGTAACTTGAGGCGGCTGGTAATTTCTTCGGGGCATCGCAAAGCGGTGCGCTTGCGTGGTTGCTTTAGCTTCGGGTAGAATTCTTGCAGACTCAAAACAATCTTGGGACTGGGAGCTTTCTGCACTTGCACACCAGCTAGCACGTCACGAAGTTTGGTCGGCTGTTCCGCTTCCTCCTAGCCGCATCTTTCTTGGGAGCTACTTTGAATCTTGCCGTCCGCTCAACTCAAGACTTGATTCTGCCGTCTGCTTTGTGCTGTCCAAGTTTTTGACTGTTCCCGGGCAGAATCGGCTATGTTCCCGGAGAGAATCGGCTATGATGGACAATTGGACCGAGAGAAGTTTCTAAATACGCGTAGTCCAAGGATGCTGACCTTATCGGTGCGATGTCAGGTGTCCTGGGGTGAAGGATTACGCCAACGACCGTTCTTTGGTTCTCACCTACCTTTCTTCCGGTTGCCAACAACGGTCCGGTTGGCTGGCTTCTCTTTGCTGTGCTCACTCTTGAAACGATGCTGGGCAATCAGTCTACGAAGGCCTGTCATTCTGGCTGTTCTTGGACTCTGTCGAAGTGTGCCGATACGTTATGCGGCAGTAAAGAGACCAGGAGAGGACATACCCGGGACTCAAAGCCTCCTGCAAAGCGCCACTAAATAAGTTACCCTGTGTGGTGCTTGCGAACCTAGGCAACTTTTGTGGGGTTGAAAGCATGCTGCAACGCGCCGCCAAAAGGGCACCCTTGTAGACGAACGTTGCGGCCGTTCTACGCCCCCTTCTTTTGGTATGCTTGCTGGCTGCACGGTAATGTGGGCAGGGTTCTTGTTCCAGTTACTTGTGTCTTCGTAATTCTTCTTTCTCATAGAGGCCAGGATGGGGATCGAATTTGAGACCGCAAGTACCTCTCACTGTTTACGTTCCAGCACTGATGCCATAGCGTGTGTCCGCATATCACTCATCGTGCAAGAAGGGACGCTTTGTGTCGCTTGGACGGCATAAAGTCCCGTCGGTAATCAAAACTTACTTTCGAGGGCTTCGCTCCACGTTCGCTCGTAAGGCAAGCGAATGGCGGCCTTATGAATCTTTTGTGGACAACCGGGCAGGACCGACGTCCATGTAGCGTACTGTGGGCGGCTCTCGTAACTATGACTTCAAGTCCGATTTGCCGATTATGGTCGTTTTAGACGAGCCACATTTCCTGGTTGGACTCCGCCTTCCCGTTCTTGGTGGGCTTCTCGTTTCATGGCGGGCCCTCGCTTCTGCCAAAATGCTTAGTCACAGATCTATCTCCGCGTTTGCCTTTTGTCAGAACGATTCGCATCGACTTAGCGGCCGAAGCGACCTGTTTGTCCGCTCTCAGGATGTTGTTAGCCCGCTTGCATCATTGATCGGCACTGTGGTACAGTGTGTTCTTGCAGGGACTCTTTGCCTCGATCAGTCTCGATCGGATGTAACCTGACGCCGTGCTTTTGTCTGCAGATTGCGGCTCGATTCGTACAGTTACGGGCTACAGTTGAAGGTAAGATCTCACAATGCACAGTCAGTCCCTCAAGTCTGCGACGTCATTGCAGACTGACGGGTGTTGCCATTTCTGGAAGATTGATGTGAGTAAAGCAGACAACAGCGTGAGCTAGAGGACTGATTTCGCACTTTGGTTTGCAGGTTGTGAGTTCAGCTGAGGATAGTTTAGTTCGTTTTCAAAGGTGAGCCCTCGAGCCATCCTCTCGTCAAGCTTGATCAGCATGTGTCTTGTCAAGGGTTAGCGTGCTGGTGGAAACGGGCGTACCACTGATGATTTTCGCTTCGACTCTTGTGGATTTCGTGCTTGGACACGGAAGAACCGATTGCCTGCTCGATTAGTGTTTCATGTGCACCGTAAATAACTTATGTTGCCTTGCTGTTCAGACTAGTTTGTCATCCAAAGACTTGTCTTGACTCTTTTGCAGCAGATCGTGAGGCTGATGGAGTTGTGTTTGAGCGCGAAGGTAAGCCGCTTGCGTTTCTTCGAGAGCTTTCCAGCCTAGGTGGTTTGTAGTGTTCATTTTTCGCACGAGTGCCTTGCGGATATGCGGCTGGGAATCTCTGAGACACAATCGAACGTCTAAAGAACCATCTGTATTGCCAAGTGTAAAGGTGCTCAGGGTTGGGCATTGCACGATGTCATCAGCCCGCCTGTCGTTAACAACTTGACCAGGTGTCCAAAGCTGGCTGATCCAGTGTCAATCTTAGAAGGAGCGCTTCCTTTGATTTTGAACGCTCCTTCGTTACTGCAGGCTATTCTTGTGCAATCAAGGTGTATATTGAAGAAAAAGGTGAGAAATCACTGCGTTTCCCGCCGAGGGATTACTGCTTATTCCTTCCATTCGTACTGCCTTTAACTATCCAGACTTAAGAGCAGCCGTTGCTTCCGGACAAGGAGAGCAGCCGTTGCTTTTCAACAAAAGTTCCTCCTGAATCTCGCTTCGCTTTGACTTCTTCCAAAGCTTAGTCCCCAGCATGTAAGGTCTAGGAAGTCGGCTTGTCACAGGGTATGTCTGGCTTGTCGAGGTCCGTTATCGCCCCTGAACTATAGTAAGAAACACTATGCTCGCCCTTGCAGGTCAATACTGGAGGCGGTTCTGAACCGACAGCATCGTGTATCAGTTCGTCACTGTGGAGGAGATCAGAGAGGCGACAAAGTGTGAGAGTTAGGGGTTCAAGCTGAGATTGGTGAGCGCAAACTGAGTTACTCTGAGGAGAAAATCTATAGCGTGTTTAGTTTTGACGGCTTCGATTTACAGTCTACCTGCTTACGTACGGCGCAGAACTCTAGCATGACAGCAGGTACTGGATACCGTAGATTCTAGATCTTTGGCGGGGTCGACCAGGTTCTATTGCCAGGAGGACCGCGTCTTTACAGGACATGGCAATTCATAGTACGTGCGAGCCAGGATGAAGACCCACTGACTCTAGAAGGACTCGAAGGTGAGGATAGACAATTGAGTAATACTAGCTGGTCGGAGTTGTTGTTTAACACTGGATAGTTGTCGAGGATACGGTTGAATATTGCACGCAGGTGGTTGCCGCAAGGCCGTAGTGTGACAGGATAAATGATGGTGTCTTCTATTCATGTATTATGCATAAGAACCGACTCAAACCCACAGCCGCCTGGCACCCCATGCCAGTATTTCCAATATATATGCACAGCATGGTTTCCGTTTGGTTTTAGTACGGCCTCATCATGATTTCCGCTCGACCTCCAGAGCTTGGAAACCGCACGATTGCGGCACCGATTCTACATGCATGGAAACCGTGCCGCCTTCACATGAATGTCATCATCTGAGACGCGGCGCAGGCTTGCCTCCGTGTAAGTTGCCACCCGGGAACGCTAAGATATGCTATGACTTTTTGAAGATCTTCCCGGCGACTCGGCAGATTTGTTATGATAACGTGTTGCCGTGTCCTGGACACCCAACAACTTAGAAACATAATCTGTCGCGCTGGTACTTTTACACCATGTGTAGACTCACTACATCATAACGGTAACCGGGTGGTAGTTTGGGCAGTCGGGGTCTCGGCACCGGCCCTGCTTATAATCTTGGCAAATGTCGACTGTCAGGTCGTCCCTGTTTACCTGCAAATAGACCGTACATATGTCAGTTCGAGATGGTCAGCTTTGCACGGCCTAAGAGCTCATCACCATAGACTTGATCTGAAAGCAGTCACGAGAAACACCGCCGATCACCAAAGAGAAGACCAGCGGACAAAGAATACACAATACGGGTGAACAAAGCAGTAGCAATCTGCCGTTGGTTAGCAATAAGTAAGGGCCAAAGACCGCCTATGCGACCCCCGCTACGTTTATGCGACTGGCAACGCACCGAAGATTCGAATGTGGATATAGGTGCCCTCGATGAATTGTCCAAAAACTTAGAGTTCGCCGTCGAATGTAGTAACCAAACAATCGATCACGGCCTTGAGGACCTTCACCCGAGGGGACGCCCATCGCAAATCAAGGAAGACAAAGCCGGCAGACAAGGGTGTAACAACTAAACTCGACGGAGTCTTACCCGGATTCTGCTGTTTGGGTGCACGAAGCGGCACGCCCGGCGGTCGCACTTGTCATGGTAAAAATCGCGGCACACCGGAAGCTTATCCTCCGCAAGCCGCGCGCGCACCGGCCGCCCGCGCTCGTCCCGTCGCTCGTAGCTCCGTTCTCGTTCCGCGCCCCGGTACCGCTCATCCCTCCGATCTGGTTCCGGACTCCGGCCCCGCCGCCCCTCGTCCCGATAAGCTTCCCCGGCCCCCCCGGGATACGCGTATTCTCCCCCCCTGGAAGAATACGAATCGCGACTCCGTTCTGCGTACGCGTCTACGAGGCCCCCCCGGGGTCGATCGGGATAAGTCTCCGACCGACTGCGTTCGGGGTAGCTGCCAGCACGGCTGCGGTCGGGGTACGAGTCGTAGACGCCACGTGGCGGGCCAGGGGGGCTCCGGTCGCGGGGACGGGCGTCAGGGAAGGCGGGGGGGTAGCTCGGGGGGCCCTGGAAAGAGGAGCCGGGGCTCGTTCAAGAAGCGAGGCATGGGCTAGACGGTCTGATGACAGTCAAGTACGCAGGGCAAAACAAACAGAAGTGGGTTTTGGAACTTATCACTCGGTCAATTGGTATCCCCACCGCATCTGCGACCGCAGGACAAACCCTTTCCTAGCATACTAAAAGCCGTCCATGCCTGTAACTCTTGACAAATTCAACAGAATCTTTCCAGTGTCCCTAGCCTTCGGGCAAGAGCGTAACGAAACGACTCCGGCTGCGGAATAGGGTACTCACCATTGAAGGCGGTTCGCGCCTCCGCGGCTCTCTTTCAGCGTATAGGTCCAGAGGATACGGGCTGGGCTCTTCTCGCCTTGGCGGGGGTTTCTGGAGGCGCGTGAAATAGAATTCGTGTAAGCGGGGGGCTCCTCTCAAAGCGGTCTTGAAACACAAGAAGTACAAGCGCATTGGGCTTTTCAGGCTGCAGTGCTAAACTGACTATCTGTTAATCAGTAGCGTTATCAGCGGAGTGTCGATCAAGGTTGCGATTGGATAGTCAAGGGCAGAGCCAAACGTCCTCTTTCAACTGCTTCCTCGCAGTTTCAGGAGGTCAACTCACAAGGGCTGAACAAGGTGCCAATAACAGAGCATGTGGAGACATCACCTCAACGGACAGGAAGAACCGGTCACAACAAGGGAAACCACAGTCACAACAAGGGAAACCACAGACTGCTCCCAGATTGGAAAGCAGCAAACCATGCGAGTAGACGAGGCTCACCCCTCCGTCTGCTATATGCGCCCCATAGATACCATACATCGCCACAGCTTTTGCGTAGGCCGCATACGGGTCCGGTGGGGGTAGAGGCTCCATGATAGGCGGGGGGCCGGTCAGGATAGGAATCTGTGTGGGACGACACGTGTCAGTTGTGCGAGGACACGTGTCAAGCGTGTGCTCTAAATGCATCTGGTTGTGAGAAAAGTGTTGCGACAGAACTACGAAACCGCCACGTATCTTCGACACTCCAAAACCGAGCCTGTCCTCCCATCTCCCACCAACAATTTCCAGGCAGCGCAGCTTGGGAGTTACCCAAGTGCGTCATCTTTCCGGACCAAAGCTTTGAGAAGGAGCACCTTCTCGAAAATCAGCATCCGACGTTCGAAAAAGAGCACCATCCCGAAAGTCAGCATCCGAAGGTCGGCATGGCGCGAGATGTGAAGCATCAAAACACTAACAATCCCGAGCGTGTGAACATGACCATAGCACGGCAGCGACTGAAAGCGACTGAAAGGGGAAAAGGACCAAAAGCTAAAGAACCGGAAGCGTGAGCCCGTTTCAAACCAGGGCTTTCACGGCTCAGCAAGACCATGAATGACAATCGAACTTCAGAACGGCCTGAAAGGACACAAGCAAAGAAGAGGAAGCACAAGCCCACCTCTCGGATGAAGTGCTTTCGATGGTTGAGGGGATGGAAGAAGCGGCAGGCCTCTCGAGTGCAGCCAGCTTTGAGAAAGTCGGCGCACACCTGCAAAGCAGGACACAGAACGGCGGATAAGGTAAGCCAAGATTGAGCACAAAGTGGTGTTTCTCATGGATTCGTATCGGCCCCCCAACCCGGTTGTCGGATACGCTAAGCCACAATCGAGCAAGAAGTGATGTTTCTCAAATGTTTGTATGGGCTTCCCATGTGACACTTGGAGCAGGTTAGACAATACAAAGATTGATCCCGAGGGGCGCATGGTGTTTCGAGCGAGCTGATTCGACTAATGTCGGGTACAACTGCGTTTGAACGTTGTGCTGAGCACGTTCAATATCACCCTTGGTCAAACAACAACTGGGCCAAGTGCTGTCCTCTAGCCCTGCCTGATGTCAAATTCGACACTGACAATCATCATCATTACTACAAAAAGGTTCTTGGACACAGCGAGGCCATCACAACATCATCCCCGAGCATTCCCAAGACACTGCCACAACATCGATGCACAAGCAGACAGAAACGCTGCCAAAACGTCAATGCTTTCTCACCATCACGAAGTTGCCGTCTGGGCTGGTGGGCTCTGCGTGGGCCCGTTTACACTCCCTGTCCGAGAAGGAGCAGCGGCCCTTTTGCCAGTTGTGGCATACCTGTGGGAATACGTTCCAGAGTCTTCCGGCTGTATTGCTGGAAAGTTCCCAAACCGAGGCTCATTTACTGAGGGCCAATTTAAATCAACCTCCAGGTGTCAATGTACGGCAGACACGAACAACTTGCGTCACCCAATCATAACAGATAGAGGCTTACTCGACAGAAGCCACGACATGGAACTGAAGCTGCACCAGAAGTGCGGCCATACGAGAAGAAGGTAGCTATGCGAATGGAAACTTGGGTGTTTCCAGCTGGCTTATATGATTAGGCCGTGCAAAGCATAATGGTCATCGTCCTGTCCAGTTGCCATTAGTCTCTACTCGCTGCAACTGAAAAATGGATACAAGGTGAAATAAAGCGGGAAAAGCGTCACACTTCTATCTGTACTTGGACGTAGATGACGTGAGAAAATTACTTATTTACTGCAGGAACCTAGGCGTGTTGACATTCGGGGGGTTCGGGTCTCCAGGTTTCTTTGATCAAGCGATGGCTCGAAGCAAACAGATCGAGAAAGGTCTTCTTACGTACCTCCAGCATTGGCCGCACTTTGGCGGGCAGGATGGGAGGTGGCAGCCCAAGCGGACCCGGGGGAACGAACACGGGTCCCGGCGGGGGGATCTCATCCAACTGCAGAGCAAAGTACGGTCTTTAAAAACCTGGCCCCTAGCGAACCAGCTCTCTGCACGCTCCTGAGGAACACAACCTCTCTCGGCTTTGAAACTATACCAAAAGTCTCAGCTTTGCAGCTAGACAAGAAGACACAGTTTTTATTCCTCCAACATATGCGTCCTAAACGGATGGACTCTTGAAGTATTGACAGCGATGGACTAAAAAAACAGGGCATCTCTAATCAGCTGGCTTTGCAGTGGCGTCGGCACAGCATTCCATCCGTTTCAGTGCACCTCGACCATGTTCTATGCCATCTGGATCAGGAATAATCAGAGCGCACTCTTCAAGACAAGCTCTTTCCTAGGGGGAAAATGACTTGGAGTACTTACAACAGGGAAGCCAGCCTCCGTTTGCAAGCGCCTGCACCGCACAAAGCGCCCATAGGTATCGCTGCTGTTTTAACTGCTAGCTTTGCTCGATAGCTCTTTGTAACAGCTTATTGAAGGAGGCCCGAAGAATTGCTTGGTGGCCAATGCTGCGGACTGCTTGCGTTTCAGAGATGGCATCAATTGCCTTTGCTTCAGATGCGATAATCTACTCTGAGCGGAATCCCTCCAGGTTGGTGAGCGCTTTTGTGCTAAGCTTTTCACTTAGCCCAGTCTCAAACTGCAACTTGATTGCTGCTAACAAGCTGAAGCGGGGGGTAAAGACAGCGAGACATGGACACGAGACAGTTTCTTCCGATCTCATCCGAGCTGCTGAAACTACAGACTGACAGGCTTTTTCAATGCGCTCCAGAGGTCGCTGCTCTGGTTGCTTAAACATCATTGCAGATGGTAAGCCTTGAACGCGCTATTGAGAAAATGCAGCCCCCCACAACTTTTCAGCTCTGAGAAAGGCGTAATCAACTTGCAAACGCTCTCATAGCCCTGATCTATGCAGCATGCACCCAGCAGCAGAAAGTGACGATTGTTTCGTAGTGAACTTCTCCAAAGGAGCGCTAATGCATGCTGGCTCTGAAAGCTCAAGTGTGCACTGAGTCGAAGTGCGATTGCTTCGGAACTACATCTTTACCCCTCGAAGCACAGGAGCTGAAAGTCTGAGTGGATAAAGTTGCCCATGCACAAGCGGCGCTTGCCTTCCTCGGGCAATCAAAAATCACTTCCGCTTCTGAGCTTTTGTCCAGACGAAAGCTGCTGTTAGCAGAGCTGTGCAAGTCTATCCCCCTCCCCACCTCTTCTCCCCCCCCCTCGGACTTACGTGCGCAGCGGTTGTTCTGGATGATACCATCGGCAATCGAACGGGCCCCGCGGGCAGCGGTTTCGGAGCGAGTCAACGCAGACCTCAACCTCCATCCTACAAGCAGCAAATGTACGCCGATGATTCTAGTTGATTAGTTGTATTCATTCCCAGTGTCTTCCCCTATTGTTCAGTTACAAGTAGAAGATCATACGAAGTTCACTCTCACTTTCCTCATTCTAGTCACTTTACTTTGGTTTTTTGGTCGAAACCTGATTGCCCATGTGATGCTTGCATGTGCATCTAGAGGCAATGCTGAAAAGTTTGTTCAAGAACCTCTAAAGGTGGGTCAGAGTGGGTAATGGTTGCTCAATTTCACTTGTTTCCAAGGGTTTACCAAGGGTTTCCCAAGGGTTTACCAACAAGGATAGAGAGGCATATGGAAAGCAATTGATGATTGTACGGCATGTAATGAAGGCATCATCCTAGACTGCAAACCTTTCAAGCTACCTCTTGCGCTTGCTGGAACTTTTCTTATTGCCGCTCAATCTACATTTATGAGCATGAGTTGTTCACTAAAAGAAGAAAAAACCTTTTGTATGTCTTCTCCTCTCCCTCTCTCCCGGCAAAACCGACCACCTAGACTACTCACTGCACCACCATCGTAGACGGATTGGCATGCCCGAAATTGTGGAGTTTTGCACCCGCCGCCTAGATAGCCACCGTCATTCACTTGGCTTCAACGCAGTACGCCAGTCCGCAATCTCCATCTAATGAGCTGCATGGCCAGATTGCCTATAAACAAAAGAAGAAGAAGAACAAAACCCCAGACGACTCACTGGTCGGGAGGCACCAAGTCCTTGGGCACATGCGCATATTTGCACGGCTTGATGATGCACCGGCCCCGCATGTGGTTCCGGCAGAGAGGCGCCATGATCCGGTTTGGCCGCGGCCGCTCAGACGCCATGCTTGCGGACAAACGTTTTGAATCCACCGCCGGCGGTTCGAGTCGAGCAGCACGCTGCTTGAGAAGAAGAAGCTAAGAGACAGGAAACAGGAAGGAAGCAGCGTACCTACCTCGATCCAAGGAGGACCAAAGTACGGTAGGACAAACAGCAACTTTCTCGAAAACTCCTAAAAGAAATCTAGTAGACACCAGCTGAGGCTCACGGCCGCGGACCCGGCCGCGCCTTCGCCCAATTTGGCCGCGCGAATTGTTTGCCTCAGGTTTTAGTATCTTTGCGCGCGCGCGTTTCTCTTCCTTGCGCGCGCGCGTTTCTATTCCTTGCGCGCGCGCCAGCGCCGTAGTGAATTGCAGGTCGCCACGTGTCATTCCGAGCTGAGCTGGCCGGAAGCTTTCCCGCACAAGGACTTCTCAGGGCGCCACTTGTCCCCGATCACGGCACAGGTCAGCTGCGCCAACGGGCCGTATTGCATTTTCAGAAGACCCCCCTCTCCGGGGCGCTCTGCATTCATTCCAAAGAATGGCGTCTGTTTCTTGCCGCGCCTTCAGTCAGCACGCAATCAGCCTCCATTCTTCCAGCCGCCCTTCTCAAAGCTCCGTCCCTGCTTCTTCTTCTAGGACTTTCTGCGCTCCTCCAAAACAGCGTACTTTGGTGCATGCACACGTAACTCCTTCCGTCAAGCGCCTGGGTTGTGAGTTCAAGGGCTCTGGAATTGGGTTGGGTCTGAAAGCAGAGGGCTTGGAGGGCTTGAAACGAGGTTTGGGAGAAAGTGCAGCACGAGTAAACATGGTCACGTGGAACAAGGAGCTGCTCTTTCACCTGGCGGTGCCTCTTGGGGGGGGCTTGGTGGCGAGCGCGATTGCTGCACCGAACCTGAGTGAGTGGATCACTCTTTAGTACATGTTTGACATATTGGAAAGTGTGCTTCTGTCAACCAAAAGGGCAAGGAGTCAAGGAGGTGGGGAGAAAAGGCAGGATGCATAGGAAGCAGTCTTTGTAACAATGAGATAAGGTGCATTGCATTTTTCCCGGAATTCTTCAAAGTTATGATATAAACCAAGCGAACCTGGCCGAGTGCTCACGCAGTGAAGCTTTTGTAGCAACGAAAGACACTAGCTAAGCATTGAAACAAGTTTGGACCGAGGCAGTGAGCTTGTACTTGGGGTACTGGAAATGCTGCAATCTACATGAACAAGATTGCAGCTCTGGAGAAGCCTAGCGACTTGTGATTGGGAACTGAAGCAGGAGCTGCTACTGTAAGAGTCGCCTTCTTACATGGTTTGCAACAATCTGCTGCTACACTGCCACATACGAGCAAACCCTAAGTCTGAAGCAATGGTGGTCTGAGCAGGGTAATGCGACATCTTGGACGTCATTAATGTTATCATGACTTCTTGTTCTTTCCTCTTGGCAGAGCTTTATGGCGACCTCAAGAAGCCGAAATGGGCTCCCCCGGTGAGTAGTAAAAAGCCCGCATTGATATACTTTCATCTGGACGTTGCTTTTACAATGGTGCCACATTAAATCCTGATTACGAAGGCCACTGTAAGTGTGCTGCAACAATAGCAGAATAGTCTATATTTCTCCTGTGCTTCGAAATTTTAGTTCACGGCTTCGCTTGTTAAGGTCATCAGCTCGTGAAACCCACAACTTTCGACACTGTGCCAAGTCTACCCCCTGAAAAGAAACCAGCAGTTTTCTGTCTCTTCCATTTACCTCGTTCTGCGGAAACAATGTCATGGCTCCCAGCTTTCCACTTTTGCAATTCCACGTGGTTTACCATGAAGAAGCGTTGTGGAGCTGGAAAGTTGCAATCTGCCAACAAATGAACATTCTTGTTGAGCCCTACCCTTTTATGATCCTAGTTGTCAAATGTAGGGCTACCCCAGAGCTCCTCTATTACATTTCTGATTCGCTCACCCTCCAAGCACCTATGGAGCAACAGCTCAGAACTTGTCTGACACTTCTTAATAGAATGGATAGCAGATTGCGTTGGCAATGGAAAAGACTCTAATATCCTGAGATGATCCGCGTGCGTTCTCCGTCGCTCATCATAATATGCTTCTTTGACAGGCACCCCTCTTCGGAAATGTGTGGTCAATCATCTACCTCCTGATTGGTTACTCAGCGTGGCTGGTGTATCGGGACGCTGGAGGTAAGATTGAAGCGCTTACCACACATTTGGTTCCAATTCATTCAGTGCGTGTCTTTCACCTTCGTTTCCTGTGTTCCTGACCGTTTCGTCTCCCTTTGAGATTTGAAGGGCCACCATTTTGTCCTGAATCAGCCCTTCGCTTGAGCGGTTTGGCATACGACTCCCTAAGCAGGCATCAGCAATATATCTCTTGTTGTACAGAGCTAGGAGAACCTCTAAAAACTGCGAAAATTACACGAAGGAAGCCCGAGTTTCATCTGGTTCCGTGTCAAATGCGCCCAGGGGCGTCAGCTTCAGCCATCTGGTGTCGCATGATGGATTAATTTCGTTTTGACCGCATTCTGGAGAACCCAATACTTCATGACACAGCATTGCATCCACGAGATTATGGTATCCTTTTCAAAAGATAAAAGCTGACGACTTGATTTTATTTTGAAGAACTCGATACTGCTTTCCATACTTAAGTCATGGTTACCCTCTAGAAAGCGGTCCCCTTTTCTCCGTCCCCACCTGCACACCAACTCATATACCACCCTTGCTTTGACCCGCAGGGTATAGCGTGCAGCCCGGTCTTTGGAAGTTGTATGGAGCGCAGCTGGTCCTCAACTGGTTATGGCAACCGCTCTTTTTCAACAAGCAGCTACTGGTAAGTTTAGAGGCGCCTGATCCCGATCTGGTCGAAGATCACGAATGTTGGTTCAATCGCAACGGAACTGTTTCTGAGTAGATTAGGAACAATTATGTCCGAATGCTCTTCGCATCCAGGTAACCGTCGTATTCAAATTCTAGAAAAGGGGAAGATAAGCTAGTTTCAGTTGCGGATTGATTGCATTGTCCATCTGGCTACCAACAACTACTCTCGACAGATCTGAATGCCCGTTGACACTCCAGTAATCTCCCTTTCACTTAAGGAGCGGTTGGGCGTCTGGGAGATGGGTTCGGTTAGCTGGGTTGGTCAGAGGGCGGTTCAAGTGTGGAGCGCGTGATGTTTCGGTGGAGCATTTGCTTATGTGTAAGTGAAGTGGTTATCCAACGAAATGACGGTTATCAGTAGCACGTGGAATGTAACCGACCGGGTAAACAAAATCGGCCCCGTTCCCAAGTCTCCCGCCTCTACTTACCTGGTCGGTTCCTTTTCTCCGTGCAGGGTGTCGCTTTCATTGACCTGGCACTTCTGTGGGGCACGATTGCCGCTCTCATTGGCAAGTTCTCAGCCATCAATACGCTGGCCGGAAAGGCGCTCATCCCTTATCTCCTCTGGTGAGCTCCCACATTCCTCAGTAGTCCGGTCTTAAAAACCCCGAAGCAAGCGGTCTCCCTAAATCGGACTACACCTTCGTAATAATAGATGCATGAGGTAGAGTTCTCTGCAACACTTTGGACGTATATACGCAGCTTGGAGGGATGTAAGCCCGGGGGTTCTCCCTGCGGAATATTCTTAGGAAACGTGGACGACAGTGGAAGTTTTACGTTTGTGGGCACACGTTCTGTTGACAGGTAACTTTACCTTTGAAGATTTTACACTTGTTATCCGGATCAAGATTGTAGCTACGACGTTTTCCTTCGAGAGAACGGTCGAAGATGCTCAACCCGAATTAAGCAAGAGCTGCGGAAGACTATAACGTATTTTCCACTCTCTGTACCGCTTTCGTGTACGATTATTGCCTACAACCATATGGTGATCAGTGATCATCCAAAAACGCTTTATAGTTTTCGGAGGGGGCTAGTACTATCGTTTGGTACCCCTGGCTAGGCTCTGTGAGCATACATTATCCAAATCAAAAAAGAGATTCTTTGGTTTGCTACCCAGTAGAGGATGGCAGCCCTCTAAAGTCACTTCTCTCAGCAAGTCAAACGCAGTTAGAGTTTTTTCCAATTCGAATTATAGTATGCGTTCTTTTATAGCTTTTATTATAAGAAGTTTAAAACGTCATACATTTGAAAGCTTTCTAGCTTTGCTTTGGTTCCTTTTCTTGGCATTTTGGAGATAGGGTTTTTCTTTGTGTTGACGCATAAAACTGCGACCTCGTCAAAGACGCTGCGACGGCTCACTTCCTTAGCAGCGGGATACGAACGACCTTCTAACTTCTGAAGCGCGTGCGAAGCGTCCGCATGCACTGAAATCGAAGAAAAGGCTAATATAGTGTGTCATGTGGATCTTTCCAATGGCTCACATTCTGCTTGTTTCCCCGCAGGGTCACCTTCGCTGGCGCACTCAACTTCAACTTGTGGCAAAACAACCCTGCCAAGGACAAGGACCCCAAGGAGTTGCGGCCAAAGGCGGCTTGATCCGTGAACTCCGGTCTCTATGATTCGTACATCTTTTTGTATAGTGGCGTGTTAACTTTGAGAGGGGGGCGTTTACTTTCAGTACAGCTATTACTGGCGTGCCGAGCTGCCCATTTGGCACATTAGGCGGCCAGCTCCGGGTCTGTTCCGCTGCAGATGGCTGGGCGTACCGGAAACGTCAAGGTTGTGCCGCGCAGTCAACATTCAATCTTCCAGCAAGAGGAAGCGTAATCTGTTAGCCTAGTGGTACTCAGTATTTCTGTATGTACCTTACCTGTAACTCCCATTTTTGGCCAATGTCTAGACGGGGAACGTCAAGCAAGGAAGAATTGCAGCGACAAGTGACACTTCAACGTATAACTAAGCACGCGTCTGCTGCAAAGCTAAGTCGCGGTTTGGCGATTGGATGGTTCTGATGCTTGGATCAATCAAGGCGGTCGCCGGGCAGAAAAGGGAGTCATCGTAATGGTTTTACCCAGTATATATCAAGGCAACCTTGCAAGGAGCCGAGATGGGTCCACCACCGTATGGTGCTGCACAAACGCGCGCATGCGCAGGATGTTACTCCATCATTGCACCGCTGCGTTCTTAACGAGCATGTACAACTGCTATGCAATCTCCGACGATCGATCTCCTGCATAGTAACTTTATTGACAGCGAAAACTTAACAGAAGGCCTGACCATCTCAACTAACGATATCGTTGATGGATTTAATGATCTGGCGAGATCCAAGTATTTTGCGGAATATGCAGTCGGAGTGCATGGTAAACGTTTCCAATTGGCGGAATTTGGTTTGCATGATCTGGTGAGGTCCGAATTATTTGCGAATTATGCAGAGTGCATGGTAAACCCATTGGATTTGGCCCATCGATCCAATTGTTGGCCAGGCTTTGGCCGGTTTGGTGTCATTGGATCGTTAAGGGCGCGGTAGCTAGGTCAAATGCAGTGTAGGGTGGACTGAGTCCGGCGTAGATACCTATTCTAAGTACGACTAGGCTTGCATCATTGCATCCGATCAACATGCCGCATGCGAACTGGTGCCATGTGACTGATCGATGCGGCTCATGGTGCATGCAGTGACGGCACGAATGCATAATATATACTACGTACCGTCCTGGCCAGTAAACTTACGAAGGGTACTCATGCAAGCCTACATGGCTTATGTTGCCAGCCTTCAGAACGATTCACGCTGGTATAATCCCAAACAATTGTGGATCACAGTCCGGACTCATCTATGACGGACTCATGACCTGGTTGTGCCATAATGTTGCCCGCGCGTTTTGCATGACGATCGACCACCGGGAACGCACGGTGTGAAGACGGCCAAAAGCGCTAACTGGAAGGTCAATGAGCATGGCGCAAGGCGATCTTCAAGTGGGCGCCCAGGACATTTTCATTTGACATACTATCTCGGTCAATAGATGAGAATATTGCCAGACCGTTGATCAGCAAAGAAAGCAGTATGAGCACACGTGACTTTAGCAGATCTCCCCATATTGCTAAAATACCGCACGTGCTGCCTCTTTTGTCAGTTAGAACGAACCAGCAACAGTCAAGTGTTCCTCGCCCGTTTGGCGCCCGGAGAACTTATTCCCCACTGCTCGTCCGACAGCCAATTCGCATCTTCTGACTCCTCAGCACTCCGCCTGCCCTGTAACCTCTTTCGAAGCATGCCTAAACCTCCCGCTTGAGCCTTTGGCCCGCTTGCTGCATTCACAGCCCTATCGGCCAATGGCGCCACTGGGTTACTTTCTAATCCGCCTTGGTTAGAGGGAGCCCGCAGCTGGGGCTCCGGACAGGGCGGTCTGACACCGTTCGCTGGATCGGAGGCTTTTTGGGACGGCCTAGCTAGTCGTTGTGTCAACGTCCTAATCAGCGCACTCGTCTCGCTGGAGCCAAACCGCGAAGTCGCGCTCAAAGGACGCGCCGGCCCTGAAGACTCTTGAGCTTCCTCACTTGATGGAGGCTCCCTTCCCGGTTCAATCGTCAATCCGTTTGCGTCGTGCTGGCCAGTTACGTTAACCCCACGGTCTGCCCGAACAGTTTCCAACCCCTGACCCGCAAAATCGTCATGCCCCCGTCCGGTCCCGTCTGTTCGACGATCCGATGCGCCTTCTGGCCTGTCGCATTTACCTGCATGCTCTCCTGTTGCTTCCGAAACAGGCTCTCTTTCAAGGGCTGCATTTTCAGCTCCCCTTTCGGAAATTCTCCTTTCAAAACCCCCAAAAGCTTGCGAAACGTCTTCCCCCGAAGAACCCCCAGACAACGAACCCCTTCCTGCGCACTTCTTCCCTTTCACAGCCACGTCGCCACTCGGCCCCGCCCCGTCTTCGGCTGCCACGTGTCCGCCGCCCGCCGCGCCCACGTGGCCGCTCCCCGCCCCCGCCAGCGAGGCGCTCGTTCTCCTTGCCAGGGGGGACAGACACACCGGCAGCTCCGTTCCTACGGGAGACTCCGACCCCCCCGAAAAGTCAAACTACTGCAAGAGCTCCTCGTCGAAGTCCTCCAACATCTTCAGCGCCTCTGCTCTCCGCCGCTCCTTCCCGGTCGCAATCCCCGGGCACATTTTGCCCTGCCAACTTGGGTTTTGCGTACCCGGGTTTCCTGCAACCCGGTTTTCCGCATCCGCGTTTTTCGTAACGGGATTTTTGCTGACCCCGGTGCCTTCACTGGGGGCATTCGGCGCCCCGTGCAAGCCCCCCGTTTCCACTCCCTTGGCTTCCGAGTCCGAACCCAGTAAAGCGTCCGCTTCCCGTCGTACTCCCGACACTCCGCCGGTCCGACAACCGTCCGCCCTTTTGCTTGACGGGCCGCCCGACCGCTCCCCGTCCGCGCGTGTCCAACGTTCTGCTTTCTGCCGTTCCCCGACGTCATCCGTCGTGCTGACGTCAACCCCCGCCTGCCGGAAGCCCCTGAGCCGGGCCTCCAGCGCGCGTGCCTCGGCCTGCCACGTGGCAGCCTCGCCGACCCCGGGATCATTTCCCACCGTCTGATCTTCTACCCCCATGTTTCGGACGGTCTGTGCTTCTTCGCTGGTTCCGCACCTTCTGTCCGGATTTTCGCAATTCCCGCCATCCTCGTTCTCTCTGCTCGGGCTCCGTTCGCCCATTTCCAGCTGTGACCCGAGCGCCTCGGGGGGTTCACTTTCTCTGCCCTGCAACCCCCCGGAATCGGGTCTCAGAAGGAGATCTCCATCCTCGCCAGAAGCGTCCTCACTTTCGAAGCTCCGTCCAACGTCCACAAGCAAACCCATCTCCCGCCGTTCGTTTCCTTCCGCCCCTTTTGCCGCACTCTCAGTACCCGGCTCGCTTTCCTGCCCGCCACGTGTCACCTCCGCATCTTTCTCTCCTTCCTGGTCTCCACACGGCCCCTCTTCGTGCCTCCCACGTGTCATTTCAGCAGCCCTTTCCTCATCCGACGGCGGGGGGATCCCGAGTGCGGTCAGGATCTGCGCCTCGATGTCCCGGTACTCAGCGTCCGGTTCGTCCTTGAAACTAGAGTGGAGCGCGTTCGTCATGTTCTCCAGGATTGCTGACGTCGTCATGGACGACTCGATCGTCACCACGGCGACGACGGCATCGGTGCGGAGGACCTCGTGACGGAACATGAGCCTCGCGTGGGCTGCACAGAAAAATCTGCCCGCTTAATCTTCACAAAGGGATACTCATGAGAAAGTTCGCAAGCATTTTCCCCTTCTTTGCGCAGCGCTCAAGCGCGGACTATGTCTCGTCATTTCAGAAGCTCGGTCTTGTTGTGCCCCAGTAGCAGCGAGAAGTGGCGAACGCAATTTGAGCATAAATCAGCAGAGAAGAGACTAGATCAGAAACGAAAAGTTGGCTAAAGAAAAGGTTCAATTCAGAAATTGAGATTACTTTGAGCCAGAGACATGAACAGAGCTGATGGACTTACGATGTCGCGTGCATTCTTACCACGCTTGTCGATCCTCTTTTAAAAGCATTACATTATTGTCGTTATTTTCAAGCCCTTCTTCACATAGAAGAAGCATCCGTCTCAGAGGAAGTCTCAAGCGCAAATTGCTGCTGAGTGAACGAGAAGTCCGCGTCATCCGAAGGCGTCAAAACCTCGATGGCGTCCGCTTCTCAGGAGACGTTATTGTCGGATTCTCAGCACGCTGCAGAGATCTTTCGAACAAAGTCATGATGAATGTACTTCCGGTCACCCCGTTTCAATCGTTCCCCAAACATCGACGGTTCGCTCACCCTGAGCTATTCGCACCAGACTCTCGAGCATTCGGATCGTCGTCCGCGCCTGGTTACGGTTACCCGCGTTCGACCGCCGCTGTAACTGGTAGTAGTTAACAATAACCCGCTCCGCTTCTGGGGTTAGCGTCGGCTGAAAAGCGGCCTTGACGTAGTAGATGTAACTCCGGAGCATGTCGATTGTCCATAACGCGGAGGGTGTGGGGCTCGAAATTGAAGTGTCCTCGTCGGCACGGTGGGCGTTCTTGTGCTGCGAAAAACGAAACGGCGGCTTAGATGCTTCTTGCCCGTTCTTCCTCATGATGTGTGCAACCTGAAAACGTCAGAAGCGGGTAGTGCATACATTGTAAGGATGGATTGGGTAACTGCCTCGTCGGCCCGGTGGAAGTTCTTTGGCGGCGGGCAACACGAAATCGGCGGCTTACATGCTTCTTGCTTGTTCGTTCTGATGATTCGCGATTGGAAATGTCAGGAATGAAAGGGGTTGAGTAGTGCGAACGTTGCGAGGCTGGATTAGGTATACGTCCTCATCGGCACGGTGTGCGTTCTTGTGCTGTGCGGAAAGCAAATCGGCGGCTTAAAGGTATCCGACTCCGTCTCAATTCGGTGCTTCCGAAGTTCCGGAAGCGGCAGTTTACTTTCCAAAAGACAAAAAATGGGAGGACTGCAAAGGCGGGAGCACTCCTGAAACAAGTCATCCACCTTTGTGGCGGAAAGGTAAATGAAAGAAAACCGGCAGAACGCGTCGAGGGTGTCACCTCAGGTCTATCGTGGCAATCTAAACTTGAGTCGCGTTAACCGAACATTTACTTGGCCCCCAGTGTTGCCTTTGCAGTACCGCCAAGAAGGAGGTACAGTACTCTCAAGGCCGGAACTCTGCTTTGGAATGTACCTTTTTTACCACGTGGATATGATGGACATTTTGACTGGCTCAAAGCTAGGAAAGGATCTGGGATGCTTTTTGCAGCTTATCGGTTGATGCGAATCCTTACTTCCGTGAAAATGTGAGGAGGTAAGGGTTCGCATCGACCCAAAAGCTGCCAAAGGCATTCCAGATTCTGTTTCGCAGAAGGTAAACGCAGGAAGAGTGAACAACAACTGTCAAGCTTGTCACCTCGATCAGGTTTATCGTGGCAAAATACACTTACTTCTGTGAGAATGTGAGAGGACACTATCCGGTCCCAGTCGGGGTTCTTGGTATCCAGCAGAACCAACACGATGTCGAAGCGGCTGAGGAGCGGCGCGGCCAGCGACGTGTTCACCTCGAGTGTCTGCGTAGAAACTATAATTTAGCAAATGGCGGAATCCTCGACTGTATTATCTAGATAGAACTGCATGGAATCCGCATAGACTTGCTTTTCTGCTGGATGGCTCTCGTCCATGCCATGAACGACGGAGCCGGCCCCTGATAAGAGCAAGGCTTAAATATAAGCGTGGGTTCGAGTGCTTGCTTGGATTGCGTACGTGCTTCGATACTCCTTAGCAAGAAAGGGCTTTACGACCCAAAGAGCCGTCTCAAGGCGTAGCAATGAACTAGAGAGTCGTTTCTGGGTCATACAATGAGCAAGGATGGCGCTATCTCTTGAGACCGCCTAGGATTTAGTATATGCATTTTAAACCAGCGACGAAAAGGTCAAAAAACGCTAAGGAATCAGAATTGCTGGAGAGTGAAAATGACGAGAAAGTACAAGAGCTCAGTGCCACTTTTGGCTTGGATGTTTTGAATGCATGGCTGCCCAAATGTCTGGAGACACAGATTGAAGCTCCTCGTAGGAGATGCTCAGTCAGCATGGCTTTATTCAGGGAGGCCTGACATCGGGAACCGTGCAATCTCGCAATCTCGCCCGAACCAACTGTCTGTTGAAGTGGAAAACAAAAGTGGAAGAAGCAAGGGAACTCCCAATCAGCACGGAACGGCGCCGATATTCATGTCACGTTTTGTGAGCCTTTCCGGAAACTTACATTATCTGGATCATATTGCCCCTTTGGGTTGCAGACCGCGAAGACGGTGCACCGCGTGTTGAGCGTTGTGACGAGTCCCGCTTTTGCGACGCTCAGCGTCTGCTGCTCCATGGCCTCGTGGATGGTTGCCCTATCGGCTTCGCGGATTCTGCGAGTCGGTTCGGGCGACTTCAGAAGGAACACAGGGACTGGACAATCCACTTTCACATTGCATTCAAAGTGTGATTGGCTGAGACGTTCGGTAAAGGATATCTCCACTCCAAGACAAAGCGACTTTTACGCTGGCAGTGGAAGATTCCTGGTTTTGAGTGAGATGGAACACTTGCTGCAAGATTCGTCAGATTGGGCACCTTGACGGGTCCAGCTTGATAGATGAATTGGCAAGTGAAAATATCAGTCCCCGTGTACCCGGCTGAAGATAGTAACAGCTTTGCAATCAACGGCAACAGAATTCAACGGACTTGATCCTTTCGCTTCGCGGTTCTGCTGGTCGGCTGGAGGCAACCTTCGAACTTTGCGGACCAAAGTAGGAAGAATGTACAAGCTCGCGGACAACATGACAAAACAAGCTTCGATCGCCAAAGGCGCCGCTGGAAACTAGAAGATCCTTAAGGCGGCGACAACTCTCACTTCGCTCACCCGTCGAACTCGTCGATGCAGCACAAACCGCCGTCCGCTAGGACCAGGGCCCCGGCTTCCAGCATCCATTCGCCTGCCAAAACAAGCGCAGCTTTAGCCATTCGTTGCTTTGTCAGTTACCGATTCTTGATGAAACAAAGAAACTATCTGCTTGTCGCAAAGATCAAAATGGTAATGGAAGATGAAGAAAGAGGCGACCGAAGCATGGGAACCAACAATTTGACCCCTGGCCTTATCATCCAAAGCCTGTCTGCTTCAGCTCATGGCCTGTATCCTCTCTTGATTTGACTGAAGAGCCTATCCCCGACGGGGAGCTCATCTTTTCGTGCCATGAAAAAAAAAAAAATTGTGCCCACAGCTCATGAAAATTTTGTTCATTCGTTGTTGTACTTCATGGAAGGATTCTTTGTCGGCATGCTTTTCTCTTGCTTTTCAGAGGACCTTTGCATCTAAGCACTCGCCAGGGGGTTGGACTTGACGTCCTTGAAACCCACTACGTCATTAACCAACAGTTTGCGTCAGCTTCTGGCTTGAGAACAGCACGCAGTGGAAGTCTGTCACACGACTCTGAACCAAACTTTTGTATTCTCAAGCCGCATCATCCCCTTTGGGAATCAGCCTCCAAAATCACTGACGAGCGGAAAAGTACATTCCCCGATGAACGTCTACGCTTGTCATTGCACCTCAACCAAACGGTAAGAATGCACAACTTGAATGTGTCAGATGACGCCGACCACCTCAAAGTTTGCCGTCATCACGCTCAGACTGCCGCGTGCCGCCAGCATGACGCTTACATCGTGCAACGCGCCCCCGAGCTTTTACGTTGACTGGCCGCTCCTCCTGAATGATTCGACCATATCAATATGACCGAAAACATCGAAATAAGCTATCGTTTATGCAGGCTTTAAAACCACAGCAGGCCTTAAGCAGCTCTAGCTGAAAGGATCCTCAAGCGTTCTTTTTTGCAGCGCTTTCAAATCTCCATAGCCGGCCCGCTCACCATTATCTCTGACGGCAGTAACTGTAAGGCCCGCGCCCGTGCTGCCCATTCCGGTGGTCACGACGGAACGCGCGCTCAACTTGGCGGCGTACTTCATGAACTGGGACTTGCCAGTGCCTGAAATGGAAACCGTAATTTGGTTGGAGACCTTCCATCGAATCACTTACCAACCAATAAAGGATACCCTGATGATTCTTCAATAAACGGCCAGGTTCTTTTTTTTTCATGCATGCCCGATTTTGCCTCAGGCACAGCCCAAAACTTCCTAGTAGATGCCCAAAATCTGAACTACAATGCTCTTCTCGCGGCTTTAGGATACACTGAATTGAGACCGCCGTGTCATGCAGGGTTCAATTGTGCGCTGGCGCAACAAGAAAATCGCGGTTGCCCTTCTTTCCTATCAGACCCCATATGCTGATTCAAACCTCCGGTCTAAACAGAAGGCTTTCTCGCACATGTCTTCAGTTGACGTTCTTTCCCTTATTGGTTTTCAAGTACGGGCCTCAAGGGTCAAAGTTTATCCGAAGCGGAGATTTCCTAGCCTCTGCCGAAAACAGCGCTTGCAACCCGCATCTCATGGAGTCACTGCTCCATCTCTCACCATCTCTCACCTTTTCTCGCTTTTGTGTAGGCGGAAAGAATGAAGGACAACAATTTTCCTCTGTGGGCCGGGGGCTCGAAGACATCGAACCCACAAGAAACAACCAAGAGGCGAAGGACTTCAGACTGGGAACTTGGTCGGCACTTCACCTGGATCGCCTACGATGAGCAGGTGCGGCTCCCCCCTGACCCGCGTTCCCGACTTGTCGACTCGCGCCACCCCCCCAATAAGCGTCAGCGCGACCGCTAGCTTCACCGTAAACAAACCGTAAACCTGCAACGTCATAGATGTACCCGTCAAAGCAGGGTTGCAGCAGTGCCCGGCACGTGGTCGAGCTCATCGCGATCAATTGGGAGTGCTCGAAGCAAAGCTGCCGCAGGAATAAATAGGCCAAAATCTTGCGTTGCCAGACGGAAGTACTCTGTGTCTACCAACCAAGGCAATCACTTATCGACTGGAAAGGCTACACCGATCCCGGTGCCACGATTTGAAAAGTGGGATGAGAGGCGACAACGCTATACAACTCGGCCGTCCTTTGGATTCACACGTGCGCACTGGACCCACTTCCAGGACAAAGCTGAGCAGTGGGGGGATAATTGTAGAAACAGACTTTGCATCCCCAGCCAGTTGAGAAATAGAACACTAACGTTCTGTATATATAACATCAATGGATTGAGCTGATCCTTTCCCTCACTTGTGGGCAGATACCCTTGAGGATGCCGTTCCGGCCCTTGAGGGGGCAGTCAAGGAACTGGCGCCAGTACTCTTGAAACTTGTAGACCGTCTCAGGGGAGAGGTCGACGGCGGCCTTGTCAGCGCTCGCCTTGCTGCGAGCGACAGAGAAGGGACGGATCATACGTAGTATCGATGCGAAAATGCTGACGCGTTTGGCTCTGGTCTCAGCCCTTTGCCAGAAACAAATTTCATTGTCCCTTAAATCTGTTGAATTGGCAGCAATGAGCACACGAACGAGAGGGCAAGCGGTTGATAAAGCGAAGGGTTTTCTGAACTGAGGGACGATGCCGTCCTGCCTTGCCAGCTATATCATTACGCATCACATATTTCCACAATCCTTCTAAACGTGGAACTCTGCGGACACAAGAAGTAGAAGGACTGCGTTCCAAACGCGAAAGCGAAACCCTCTCACCGAACGCTGTTCGCGAGTATCACCATTTCCAGGTCGCACCGGACGCCCTTCATGACCGGCTTCCACTTGCAGCAAAGGACGCCCGTTACTTCCACGTCGTCTGCAGGGAGAAAAAGAAGTCGTTTGAAAGAGTTTGGCAAGCAAATGCAATCTCTTAAGCCGGACACTGCTGAAACTATCTTAAAACTGGAGAAGAACAAGAACGCCATCGATCACGAGAATGCCAGTAGAGGGCTTCCTTCCTGATACGAAGAGCGCCAACTAATGTTTTTGTCAGTAAGAAAGAGTGTAATAGGAGATTCGTGGTGGAAACGACCATGGCACTCTTTAGACGAGCTGAACTCTATGCGGTAACCCGGAAACAACCTACTCGTACGCCAATTTTGAAACGACTTCTGCGGCTTCCAATCCCACTCACTCGGGAGCCACAATCCAGAGAAGCTGACTCAACCAGTGTGTGGAAAAGAAGCTCTCAGACCACCAAAGACCAGGAAAAAGCTCAGAGGAATGGTCGGTTAGCTCACCCCCGGCCTTGCAGTAGTCCACCAGGTCGTCCTGCAACACCGCCACAATCGACCGGGGGACTGACCCGACCCCCAGCCCGTGCATCTCTTCCTGGATCTTGATCTCCTGGTAGTCGTGGCACACCTTGGATTCGTCCACGTAGTTGAAGGTCACACTCTTGCACGGCTTGGTGCGGTCCGAGGGGCATGATGCCGGGAGGGTGAGCTTGTTGTCTTGCTCCAACTGTGGGGTCACCTTGAACCTGAGGAGAGGATAAACTTATGTGCTTGATTTTCTTGAAACTCCTAGCGGCCTTGCATACTTCTCTTGAGCATTGGATAACGCCCCACTTGTACCTTTCTAAACTTCTTAGTTCTTTGAGTGCGACTCTTCGCTATGAGAGTCTTGCTCCAGCTAGGAGTTGAGCTTGAACCTGGGGAGAGCATGCCCGGCCGTCCTTTATTGCCTTCGGGACTTTTAGCTTCATTCCTTACTTTCTCACAGGCTTTGGTAAATGTCCCCCATGAATTCACCTGTCCTCCTCAGTTTCCAAGGGCCGATGATTGGGACCGGATGTGTCAAGATGGAAGTGAGTTCTATTGGGCCATCCCGTTGATGACCTCACCCTAGCTTCGGTGCGAACCTTCATATCGGGTAAGCGTGCATTTTTCGCCCTCATTTCTGCGAAATTGCCGTTGCTTTCTATGCCCTTCTTGAAGGAACTCGGCACACCGTGTGGTCAGAACAAATCTGCTAATCTTGGGATGTTCTGAAAGAAAAGAACCGAGAGCAGAAGCTTTTGAAGTCTTCCGCCCAGTCCGAATCTGTGAGTAGAAACCAGCTTGGAATGGGTGCAAGGACATCGACCACTACCAATGATTCAACAAGGGTTGCAGATCTCATAATCACAAAGTCGCCGGTTGGGTGCCAACGAATGAAGGTGAATCAAAATATCTGTGCTGGTACCTATCTCGTGTTGCTGCTGATGAAGGAGAAGGCACGATCAGTCAAAAGCTGGCTGCATGATTGCATCCAGTTGCCCTGCTGTTGTTTCGGAATGAAACACATTTCCTTATGGAGTTTCCCCCTCGCCAAAACGTTTTGTCACGAGTAGGAGCTCTAATCGTGGAGTAAGAACAAAGAGACCTCCTAGAACAGCCAGAGCTTGCAGGGACTGCTTGGCTTGAGCTTCTTCCGACCGCCAATGGTTACGCTCCGTGCGATTGCTAGGCCGTTTGGAAACCTTGAGCTTTTTGCTACTCACTCATTCTCGAGCAACACATGAGGATACAAAGTAAGCACGACCTACCGGAGCTTGCATTTGGCACATTCGTACTCCCGCTCCCCCTCAAGCATCTTCACCGCGCCTGTCCGGATGATAGTGCCTCGGACGGCGAGGATCCGCCCAATGTCCTCGCATCGGATGCGGCTTATGCTCGGCTTCATTTCTGCGCATGCGAAAGAGTCGTTTGGTTCATTTGGCGAAACATCTACAGCGGGCAAAGAAAGCGACTAGGACCCATCAGAACTCAAGCGGTCTGTTCGTTTCTGTTCTGTGGATCACGAACAGTGAGCTGTCAAATTGCTGAGGATCTTGAGGGGGGGGCGCTTACTACAACTTGCCAACCGGCCTGCTTTAAAGGGGCGAGTGCACCAGAGAAAGTAGTGAACTCGTTTGCCGCTGAAACAGATCAGCCTCAGAAGTGAGGGGCACAGCAAACCTCAGAGGGCTTCCAGATGCTCCATCACTCATCACTACTCAGCCTCGGAGTTCCCCTTCGAATAGTTTGCTGGTCAACGAGCTCAAGAATTATCAAACACAATCCATGAACGGTTTCCTTTCCTGACCAGTCCAGGCGAACAGGCTTGCAATTAAGCCTGCGAGTAATTTTCATTGACCAGAATTTGTCTTTTGAAAACCGACTAAGCACGGTTACGGTGGTGCTTTAAAAGGGAAGGCTGGATTTACTCCGCACTACGTGAGCGTCACCTCTGAGTATCTGTGCACCTCGACCATAGCCGCTCATTTAGACACATGTAGACGTAGATCAGTTGAATTTACCTAGCCTGTCGACACGACACCAACCATACGGTCGAAGGGCTTTACTTACCGGGACACATCCCCTGTGCGTGACACGTGCGTGCACATGCGGCTTGAATGTATTGGAGCACTGCTTCATGGGTGTTTGTCACTCATTTTGCTTGACCGGACACGTGTAGTGGTAACTGGACTAAAAACTTTGTCCTAGCCTGCAGAGACCAGACACAACCAGAGTGGTGAACAAATTGCACGACCTACCGGGGCACTCCATAAGCGTAACGCGTGCGTGCACATGCGCCTTGAAGCTCATGTCCTCCTGCAGCTCGTGCACATCGGCGATGTCCACCTGCGCCTTGCTCAGGGCCTCGTCGAACAGCGGGAGCAGCCACCGCGGTTTGCAGCACAGCAGGTTGGCCATGGCCTCAAAGCGCTCGTCGCCGTGCAGCTCTTGGAAGCTGGAAAGATGGAGATGTCGAGTATCCGGTACGGAGCTGGGGAAACAGCGTACTTAAAGGCACGTCAAGGAGTAACCAGCATTCTGACAGGTCTAGCGCAGGGGGTGGATTATGCCAAAAAGTACAACATTCTTTGGGGCTTCTCGCGGAACAGAGGTGGTGCAAGTGACTTGGGTGGCCCAATCGCGGGCGTAATCGAGTGCTCCAGAGGAATGCTCTAGGGGTCTTGATGCCCAGAGAAAGTATTGCAGGTCTGTAGAGATGGTGAATGGCTTTCGTTCCGAAAAGTAAAAGGATATTGAACAATGGCCCTGCAGTGTCTGCGATTGCACTAAGTCTGGTCAAGCTCACTGACAACAAGGAAACAACGTGCTTGACTCCATGCCAGAAAGAAGCTGGCCTACTATGATGCTGACGGTGATTGTTAGTGAGCAGGTTAAGGTGCAACTGTGTCTGCAGAGTGGACCGGCTGGTGCAAGAAGCAACTTCTGCAAAGAGCGAGGCAAATACCTACATGAAGCTTGTTTCTATCAGGTTTTGGCTGCAACTTTTTACCTGACGTGTACAGCGTAATGCAGGTCATCGTCTGGCTTCAGCAGTATCTCTGCCAGGTCCTGAGCATGATACTCCATGGCAAATTTGTAGAGGGCATCCACATACTCTTCGTCATGGACCACTGCTTCCTGTGACGCCCGGGCCATGTTCCTCCGTGAAAGCTTTTGCCTTTCAAGTCACGCACGCTGTACTTTCATTTCTCCGACAGTGACCATGCCATCTTGCAATGGACAAGGCTGATTGCCAAATGTTTCTAAACGCGCAAGCTTTTCTCGATGCAGATGTGCAACTGCAGATTGAATGATCATGGCCCTGACTCGGAATCCTGAGCTAGCAATCCTAGTAGTAGTGGCAATCCAGCAAGGCCAGCCCGAGGTGGACGACGCTTTGAAGATTTGGCGCGAAGCCGTAGCATATGGATCGAATCAAGTGTTTCCACGTGGCAGAAGGTGTCGCGACTCGCAATTTCGATCGCCTGGCTGCGCGCGCGCCGGCAGTAGCTGCCTGCCTCGCAGTGGCCTGCACTGCGGCATGCAGTGCAGTGTTCGACACGAGCCGTCACACCAGGCAAACGTCAGCCGACGGAATTGCCTCTCGGCCGCCGACTCAACCGAGGGGCGTCGGCCGAAAAGCCGACAGAAACGGGGTCTTTTTGGGGTGTCTGAGTGAGACAAGCCGACCGGTTCAAGTCTCCAGCCGAGGGGCCGGGGAACAGTCGGCCTGGGAGCCGACGAAATCAAAACTTCGTGTCGAACGCTGATGCAGTGCCGCTCTCCCACGAATGGATGCAATTTAGGTATGCTGAAGGGTGATGATATATGATGTTATCATGTGATCGAAGGCGCTGATTGAAGCTATGATACCGAACGTATACTGTGCCAGCTAGAGACCATGTCATATCCGGCCATGCCGTCAGCGTATGAGTTTAGGCAAAAATACAAGAATACAGACAAGACCTCAGCATCTTGCACGAAACAGAAATCATCCGAAAGGGATTTGGCTCAGAGCATTTCATCATCAGGACACTTCATGTCTCATGATGAGTTGTACTATCACGATGTCTTCGAGCATGCTTAATGTTCGTTGTACAAATATGTTTGGACCCTGGTGCACTTGCATGAGCTAAGAAATTGTAAGCAGGCTCGGTGTACGAACATGAATTAATCTTTTATACTAGTCACTTCCTGTACATTGTGTCTTGATCGAGCCACATGCAAGCCATTGGGCAATTGCCTCTCGCTCATGATTGCAGTAGGCCGGCCATGCTCATCATGGCGACGATCGGAAACTGTTACAAAGACACTTCCTTGATTACGTTGCCTTTTGACGAGCATAAATAACCTGGTAGTATACTTGGTCGATGCATGTCCATGAACTCAAGCTGCCCGACCGCACCGACCGCACAACTGCCTCCGACACACCTCTAAGTACTAACTAAACAGAGCAGAACGCGGGCCAAAAGGGGTCCCCAGTTGCGGGTCTTCTGACCATCTCGAGAGTTTGGTAGGTGATTTCGCCCTATTGTGCATGCATTCATCAACTTACAAACAGATGCGACGGACGACTTTACTGCACGCTTCGAAATCGTAAGCTCCAAGTTTCATGTTCAAACACATCATGATTAGTGGCGGCCCAAAGGTCAAAAGCGCAATTCGTTGTTTGCACAAGCTTTGACGGGCGTACTAGGAAAAACCTTGCAAAAGCAAGCCTAAAGGCAACTTGACCCCACTCCTTCGACCTCAGACAAGGAAGCTGCCCTTTGCAACCTCTGTACGTAAGTCCTCTTCTTCCCGCCTAAAATTAAGCATTCCCACATAGGCCACCGAAGACATCAGGCCTTTACTGAGTCCTCCCTCTTGTCAAGTACAGCTCCTAGAAGTGCAAGCCACCCCGCAATCTGCAACACCCGTGGCATAAATATACCCAGGACCGGAGCGTGCGAGATCAACTCCAAAAGCACACCTCCAACACCAAGCACGATCGCAACACTGGTAATGGGCAGCTTGGGAAGCCCATCCTGGCTCCATCCCTTCCCGGAACTTCCCTCGTTCTCATAGTCAATCACGCTGAGCGTGGTCGGCCCAATGCGGGTGAACGGCACCCGCACCGCTCCACGGATGTCGGCAGCCTTCTTGGCGTCGAGGACGGTACCTTCGGGAGCTAGCGTCTTGGGGTCCACGGAAGGAGAGCTCAGGACAATGGACATCAGGTATGCGACGCCGGCCGCAGCACCTGCGAGGAAGGCACCGGCGAGACGCTTGGCTCTAGGAACGCTCAAATTGGCTTCCAACTCTGGGCTTTAGTTCCCGAACTCTAGAAGGCTTCGCCTCGTTCGCAAACCATAACTTCAGTAAACCGTCATTAGATCGTCGCGGGGAAGGGCTCTGAGTCTGAGGTTGCTTAAGAAAACCGGAGACTTTAGCCTGAAGCTTTGCATTGATACTCCTAGAGAAATAAGATGGATTCTTACACAAGCGCCAGCAGAAATTGCTTGATACCGCTCAGCTACGAGTTCGTACGAAGAGCTGGTTGACAATCCCTTTGATAACGAGCTGTCCAGGCAGGCCCGTTTGGAAATCTCAGCAATCAGTATTGGAATGATGGATGTTGCAATCCGGGGCATGAACGTTCTCAGTGTGGGGGAGGTCCGAACCACTTCCGAACAGTGACATGAGTGGACACCAGGTATTCGAAGGTCTTCGAGGTTCCCAACAGGAAGTACTGCCAAAGAAAGCACGGAGTCCAGGTTCCAGAGGGATGTCCTCGTCCTCTCATACTTAGACCAATTTTCCGTCAGAATATGATCGAGGTACATGTTGCCGGTTCTTTCGTAGATACACGAGCTGGGATCACAAACCGCGAAACAGGGAAAACAGGTGACATCCAAGGTTGCCCCTTCCTTCATCTGACCACCTACTCGGAACCCACATAGGCACCAGGGGGAAAAGTGTTGATCGACGAGGGCCGACAAAAGCTCTCTCACACCGGAGTCCAAGGCTGATGTGAACCCTGCAATTCAAAATATGCCATTAGGCTCTGGGACCCCCAAAACTTGTCCTCCAAAGAAAGACAAGAAGGAAGCCTGTAATTCTCACCAGCTGGCTCGCTAAGCAGACTCAGGAGGACATTCAGTCCTGGCAGGCTGTGCGCCACGGCATCCGCTCCAACCGCCGCCGCAAGTGGGATAGCCCCCTCAACCGTCTTGACCCTCTCAAACTCTGCCTCCCGGTTCTCGCTTGTCGCAATGGTCACGCCTGCGACCACTGCGCCTGCTGCCACGCTGCCAATAAGCTCTAGGAAGAGGTTGCCCCCTTCAAGCCCGCAGGTGACCACGTTTCGCTGGGGCTTGCGTTGATGGCTGCTGCGTGCTTTAGGAAGGGTGGGCAGGAAAGAGGAGCGGAGGGAGGGGCGGGGAGAAGCCTGGGCTCTGCAGAGATTGGCCCTGCGGCGGACGGGAGAAGATCTAAGTTGAAAGTTTGGGAGCACTTGATGCACAGTGACGCCGTATCAGCCAGAAGTGAATGGAGATCAACACAGGCTATGAGCCTGACTATAGGTGAAGGTTATGGAAGATATGTAGGTATTGAGCGGTATGGGAGAAGAGCTCTTTGAATTGCAGGCATTATAGCCGCCGTTTAGGCCCTACGTCATAATCCCAAAAGTATCTTCGAGGCTAATGGTTTTCCAAGGTGCATGTCGACCAGTTGGCACCTAAGCGTCCAGATGTCGACCGTCCCTTGTAGACTGGTTTTATGAGTTGCCCTCCCGAAATTAGGGTTTTCGATTTTCAACTTAGTATGACAGAAGGGGCTTCCAAGACTCACATCAATTAAACCTCCCCTCTCTCATCTGCTCTAAATCAACAGAGATCGGTGCTTCCTGCAACTTGTAAGCGGAGCCCTCTGTGTCAACTTTTGCAGGCCTCCAAGCGCTTGCTATATCCACCCTTGAGGCTATTGCATTGAGAGGACATCAATATTCCTATCAAGGCGACACTGGTTGACATTAAGTCTGCCTTGGGATACATGTCAAATCGTCCTTTAACAGAAGCAAGAATTGGTGAGAGGCAAGCAGCAAGCTCACCTGAGGAGGGACCCCGTTTGAGAGAGTGCGGTTGCAGACGCCATAATGTTTCCTATGTACAGCGCTTCTTTCAACCTGCAAGCGTAAGCAGCTCTTACTTATGCCTGGCACAACCAGTCATATCATCAAACTTCGTGAATGGGGCAGGACTCTCCTTCACCACTAAGACGAGCATTCTTGTTGTTGGTAGCCAAGAAAAATGCCGGTCTTAGTGAGGCACTGCGTGCTGCTTGTGCGATGCCCTCCTTCAGGAACGCCTTTCGGAAATTGTGATTAAAACATGGTCTCTGTATCCTCCATTTGCATTTCAAAAAATCTGAAGAGGCCTGGAAATGGTCGCTACGCAGAGCAGAACGGGCCTCTCAGCCTACGACTTCGGCAATCTATAATTGCCAAACGAAACATTCAGACACGGATAAAATCCAATTATTGACAAAGCCTGAGTTCAGCCGTCATTAGTCAAAATATCGATTATTGTTTGAGGACATTTCTCAGATTGGGTGCATGCATTGTGCTTGCATTGGATTCCGCCAATTGTGTGTGATAGAATCACAAATTGCAGGAATTGCAGAAGCATCAAATCCGCTGGCACGTTTTGTACATGCGGTCTTGCACCAAACTAACAAAAGGCACTGTTCCTCTTACAATTGTCTTGCTTGCTTTCACCAGAAGACCAATCCAACGAGCATGCTGAACGAGTAATGCCGACACCCATTGGGAGCCAACACCAAGAAACCCGCAACGGTGTGAAAAATTGTCGCTGCTTCTTGAGAGCATATTCCAGTTTCACAAGCCCTAGGCGTCAAACCATGTGCAATTGATGGTCGAACTCATCCAGTACAGAGCACACTGCAGATGATTATCAAAGAGCAACCTCGACCTGGCCACATTGCAGCAGGAGCGCATAAATTTCAGCACATACCTGCACTGTACTGAACTTTCATCTCATGGCAACAGCTGAGCAAATTGAAGACACCAAAAGGGAATCCAAAAAGGCCAGCATGTAAGCTGAAGAGGCACGGAAACTAGGAGACGGAGGATGTTCCTCACTTGTGCTTTGCAGCTCCTCCTCCCTGCCCTTTGATGAAGAAATGGAAGGACTGCAGCTAAATGCAGCGCCCTGCAGCTCCTCTTTCGCACAAGACTGATTCAGTGATTGGATATTTTGGAACCTTCTGATTTGGATAAGGTGCTGACCAGGTTTCCTGACCCGGATTTGTGTACGGGTCTTCGCAAACCGGTTCTCATCGCGTATGCATCTCACATCGCTTACGAAGCGTCTGGGGGCACCTGATTGGTTTATCAGATTCCAGAATCTTTTGAAGAATCGTGCACTCTGATTGGCTGAAACACGAAGCTCTAATAGCAGAGTCCTGCTGAGTCCTGCTTGACTCCAACCTGTGATCATGTGGTCTGCAAACGTTGGTCTGCAGCATTCTGCCTACCTTCTAATGGATAGGTGGGCACGTACTGAATGTCTTTATGCTTTCGCTGATCCAGGATTGTGACGAAGAAGCAGGACTTCTGCAGTAAAGTTTTGGCTCAAAGTGGCGCTCAGAATGTGTAGGAGCAATCAACAGTTGAAAGAAAAGATCCTGCCCCACAAAACTTTCCTTTCAACGAGCTCCTTCATAGAAATGAAGAAGGCAGCACACGCTTGATTGTACTGATACATGAGGGAGGAACGTCATTTGAGCTGATTGGTCTCGATCAATCCCACTCTCAATGCTGTGAAATTACAAGTTGTCGACCCTTCTTGAGGACTCTGGTCATCCGATAGCAGCCTCATCATGGTCCTGGCATCAAGCGGCTGTGCCATCAGGGCCTCCCTGCAAGTACATCTAGCATCCAGCTACTCAAATTCCCAGCTCAACACTTTGTCAGCTGAAAATTTTCCAAAATCCTTGTTGCTTTCCAAAGAGATCCTCGTCCCTACGCACAGTTCTTTCGGGTTATCATCTGTGAATCAATCCCTTAAACTTGACACTACAAGACCAGTAGCTAGTGCCAGAAGGCAGAGATGTGCTCAGATCTCAGCCAGCCTGAGAAGGGGGGTAGACAGTGTCAATGATCCCTTTGGGGCCTTCTTGGCTGGGCCTGCTCACCAAAGGTAAGGACGCTTATCAATTCAGCCTGTCCTGAGCCATCCCTGGTATCAATATCACTTCGTATTGCTCATATTTCAACCAGATCAGCTGCTGTGAAACGTTCGAAAGAGGTGTATGCTGGTCGAAGGCAATATAAATCAGTCTAGCTGTCAACAAAAGGTCTATGATAGCGAAGTTCATTGCACAAAGTTCGGAAACGGGAGATTGGATTCTCCAATCAGTTTTTGTTTGAAGATCTTATATGTTTGTTGTCTACTCTTACTTTATGGAGGAGTAAAGATGCGGTTGAGAAGCGCACGGAGAGTACCTTTGAATTGGCGTGGAATACTGATCACATCAATCCAGACACATCCTCACAGTTGACTTGTGGATGCTCAAGTTGCGGATGCTCATCGTTTAGGCTAGTCCGTTTTGCTTCCTTGACAGAGATCAACTGGAGGCAAACCTATCGAGGTTTGAACAGTTCTTCACCCTTTACTGCTTCTTGTCCTTGAGAGAGTAGAAGGCAGCGAATATGACGGGAAGTTGGTGTAGCAGACAGGAGGCCACTTTTTAGCCGCTGAGCAGAAGGCGCAGACGCCAGCCTAAAACTTGGCGCGAGCCAAATCATAAGTGGATAGAACCGTCATGATCGTAAGTGCTCGACAAGGTTATGGCTCACAGATACTTCTCAACAGGTTTTCGCCATCCTGACGTGTCAGTTGACTGGTCTGATCAAAGGCCCAGAACTGGCCTCTAAGCTACAAAAATCAGACGTAGAGCCACTTCCTCCTTGACATAGGGGGCTCTACTGGGCGTGAAGGCCCGGCAGTGGGTGCTCACCAAAGGATTGCATAAACCGTATAAAATTCCCGATGGGTGCTTGCGCAGAAGAGCTCACACGGCCTGCTCGCAAATGGACGCTACAGACTTTGGCTGGGGATCCGCGGAATCTGCCGTTAGGATTGGATTTCAACGGCCAATGCGGTCTTGCCCCATGTTCTCTCCAGGACAGTGGTTCCAAAGGCCGTTGCGACGGGAGTGGATGTCATCGACAGGACGTCAGCAGCTGCCCTCACTGACGAGCAGATTCTGGTGAGCTAAGTTCTAAGAAGGGATATTAGGCTGGGCAGAGCTGAAAAGGGAGGCGTCAGACAGGTCATTGACCAATCAACCTCCCACAACCGAGTTAGATGAGCACTGAATGCAGAATCTCAGACACTCTTGGGAAATCGGCTCTCAGAGTCGGCAGGAGAAAAGTGGGAAAACGAAGTTGGACATCAGAAACATCACCGTTCCAGAACGTGTCTCACATTCTTTAGCACCTTGTCCATTGTCCCTGGCATGGCACGATTTGGGCTTTAGAAGGACCACTCCTTCCTATCTTGACGTATCACACCGGTCGTAACTTTGATACGAAACCAGACATACTTATAATACTACATTACGAATATCAACTCCTCTTCAGAATTGAAATTCGATGCAGACGGTGACTCTGTTCCTCCACCACTAAAATAGCGCTCGCAGACACTACCGTCTGGCGATCCACAGCTGTTAACCCTTTGTCCACTTGAAGAAGGCGTGCTTTCCGATTGTGTGGCAGGACTCGACCCCTGGTCTTGGAGCGATTCTCGATGCCGAGGGCGGCTGCGTGTTCCGTGTTTGGGCCCCTGAGGCGCAGTACGCAGAGCTCGTTGTGCTTGGTCCAAACACTCCTGACGACGACAACGTTCTCGGGATGCGATGGGAGGGGGGCAATTTCGCTGTGAGAGCGCCCGGAGTTCGCGCGGTAAGTCCGAGTCATTTGGGTATGGCTGCGACCCTTGTCCTTCGACTATCCAGCTTCGTGTCAGGAAAGCTTTGAAAACACTTTGAAAGACAAGAGGGCTGCACTGCGCCTGTACAAGGTGACTGGCTGACCATGAGTTGCAGGCGGTCAGCGCAAGTATCGCCAACCCTTTTTGAAGTTGGTGAGCACTGATGCTCAGTGTCTTTCACGACGGCTAGTCATGGGCCGGGCCACGAATCCAACGGACTTCAGCTTACCGTTAAGGGCAACTCCCTTTTGATGCGGTCCTTCAAGGAACGTTTCCTAAAGGGACACTTTAACGAATCGCCTAAGCAGACACGAGGCGATGGCAGTAGTCTCTCTTTGTGCGCAATCGTTCGAATGGCTGCCCCCTCCTTACTTTTCAGAAACTTGAAGCAGATAAAAACACTTATCGGGCCTCCGGTGATAAAGGAAACGGAAGGAAGAGGACACAACTCTAGAAACGCACGATAAGATTGCTCCAGACATTGACTTGCAACCGCTTGCCCTGCAGGGCGCCAAGTACTACTTTATCTTCCACCACAACGGCGAGAAGTTCTACCGTCGCGACGCACGCGCTCGGTATACCGACTTCGACGGGTGCGCGTGTTACGTCGTCGATCCGTCGTACGACTGGGCGCCCTTTGAGGCCCCCACGTGGGACAAGCTCATTCTCTATCAGGTCCATGTTGGCGCGTTTACCGGGTAAGGGTTCGCTGTTTGGCAACGTCCGTCTTATAGCTAGGAACGCAAATGGTGCCTTTGAGTGTTCGTTTGGTACTTGATTGGGGTCCAACCGATTGTCTTCGAACGACTTGTTTTTTGAGAGGTCCCTTAAAAGGGTTTGGAACAACTCGTAACGCTTACTGCACTTATGCATTACTGCATGGTAAGCGCACACGTTAAGGAACCCGGCAGCGGCCTCGTAGGTTTTGACGCACTCGCATTTAAGGACTGCCGCATACGTCTGACACGGTCCCTTGCTATACACTTGACGTTTGTTTGAATCTTGCATTGATGTAGAGTCCTGGAACAGGTAACTTAGGCACTATCAAACGAAGCAGACCTGGTCCTGTGTCAAGCTCGCCTAAACGCTGCATAGATTTTCGCGAACGGCAACTTGACTCCAGGAATCGAAAGTGCAGGCGGGAGGAAGGAGGGGGCACGTTTAATGCTTTGGCTGCCAAGGTGGACTACATTAAGAGCCTTGGGTTCAATGCCATACAGGTGAGCACTCTCGCGGGAACTTTCACAACATCTTTCTGATACACATACTCTTTTTATTAGACTGTGCTTGTGCACTCCTCGCACTAATTTTCGGTAAAAGGCGCACTTTGGCGACAATTATCTGAGATGAAGAATGGGCTCAAGGCCCTGCTCTGAATGCAAGCGGGTGTGGATATTTCGAATCAAGCAAGCAAATCCACTTTGATCTGCGTTAGAAGAATGAGATTAGATGATCTCTACAAAAATAAATTACATCAGGAGGTCACTGATATCATCCTCAAAAGGCGGAAAGACATCCGAGGTTTCACACGTAGCATATGTACTGCGAGGAAAGCCTTTCACGGGCGAATTTGGCAGGGCCCCAAATCAAGCGTTGCGCAAACAGTGCTAGCAAATTCCCGGAACTCGTCCCTCAATTTCGATGTAAGACCCCTTCCTTTTGTAGTACAGTCTCAGACTCTTTTCCAGCCCACGCTAAACAAACCGCCCGCAAATCCGCCTTCGAAATTCCATCCCCCAGTTGATGCCCGTAACCGAGTTCGGCGGTCTCTGGGGCTACAACCCGCGCCTCCTCACCTCCACGCATCAAGCCTTCGGCACGCCGGCCGAGCTCCAGTCCCTGGTCGACACGTGTCACAAGGCGGGCATTGCGGTCATCTTCGACGTCGTGTTGAACCACGGGGCCGCCCGGTTGAATAGCTTATGGGCCTACGACGGGTGGAACCCAAATAACGGCGGGGGAATATACCATCACGGGGCGGGGAAGACACCCTGGGGGAAGAAGTTTGCGTTTGGACGGTGGGAGGTGGACGACTATATTCTTGAGGGGGCCGAGATCTTCCTGCGGGACTTCAACGGTAAGTCGGACACAACGTGGCACTTGCCAGTTTCTGCATTTCTGGAGTAAGGGGGGATCTTGTAGTGTATAAGGCACAGAAGGAGGGCAAATTTGTTCAAGGGATTTCTGAACGTGGAGATCCGGATGCAAAAGCGAAGCAGGGAATCCCTTGCGCGATGTTTTGTTGAGCAGCGCGTTACAATCATTCACCAAGTATTTTTGCAATCAAACCAAGTTCCAGAGTTTCTGTCGGATTAGATTCTCCATAGCTCGAGCAGAGAATGGAACTCAAGATCATTAGGTCGAGGCTCGGCCTTGTCAGCCAAACCTTAAAAAACCAAGCATTTGAGTACTGATGGTCCTCCGATCAATATCCATGATTCCGTTTCCGGGCAGGTGACGGGCTCCGCTTCGATTCCGTCCACAACATGCCTTGGCAGCTTCTGCAGCGGATGACGTGGACTCTGCACGATAAGTACCCGGGCAAAATACTCATTAGCGGTGAGCGCCACGTGTCATCTTCTCAAACTGCTACTTCTTTTGAGAGAATCGTTGGTAGTGTTTTCTTTGCTGGTCATTGCACTTGTTGAAAACGCACAAACCGATTCTCTTTCATCATGCGTGCTACGTAAGCAAGAGTCTCGTTTTGGGTCTAGTTTTCACGATTGAAAAGTCTAAGCCAGGTCACTTCAACCTGTGCCATAACCGGAGGGCAAAACTCGGGCAAATGTAGAATGGGAAAAAAGTAAATTTTACTTCCAAGGTTGGGAACTCAATGTGCAAAGCAACAATGTTGTTCTCTTAGCCCTAAAGCCTGCTCTTGGTGAAGCACGATCATTTGCTTCTACATCGTTGCGATGGAGCGGAACCTCTCCCCACAAAGGCTGCTTCTGAGCTTGAAAGTGAAATCATTCCTACCGCTGATAGAGCCAAAGTTGGTCACAGTAAGCAGCGAGCCGACTTTGGAAACAGAAGTATCGATTTCATTCAATCCGAATCCCGCAGAGATCACGCCCGAGGACTCTGCTGCCGTCAGCAGCGCCGGGTTCGACGCCACGTGGATCCACAGCACTTTCTTCGAGACCCGCAAGTACATGGAGGGGGATCGCGCCCTGGGCAAAGTGCAGCACGTCTTGGGGCTCGGCAGTGGCTTCTCCAAACCGACCCAGATGCTGAAATACGTCATGGGCTGTCACGATCAGATCGGGTGCCGCAACAACGGGGCGTTCTGCCACGACATCGGCGGGCTCCACAGGTGCGGTTCTGCTTTTATTTAGGCTGCCAGACTGAAGGGCCTGGTAAAAGTTCATGTCGGAAGGTTCGAAGCGGAAATGAGTTTCACTGCAAATCGGGTGCCACAACTATGGAGCATTTTGCGACGACATCGGCGAACGGCACAGATGCGATTTCTGCTATACGGATTGTGAGACTGCAAAAAGGGCAGATTTAGGATCTTAGAAGATGCGAAGAGCGAACAGCATTCTCACGGCAGACTGGGTACCGCAACGGCAGGGCGTGTTGTTAGGACATCGACGGACTGCAGAGGTCCCGCTTCTGATTGAAAGATTAACCGTCAGACTGCAAAGTTTGGCCCAAAAAAACAAAAAGGGATCTCCGAAGCGGGGGGAATTGCAGCAGAGAGGTTGCCGCAACAACGGGGCGTCGTGCCATGGCTTGCTTCGGCAGATTGCACAGATTAGCTCTCGGGTTTCATGTTCAGTCAAAACGGAAACGAGCGACTTGCAGGATGCAAACGCTGCAACGGCGGGGCGATTCGCCTCGACGTTGGCGGAGAGCACAAGGAAGCCCTTTAGCATGCGCGCATTCCACAAGAATCGCCGGTTACCAGTATGGCTGTTGCGGATGGCGGGCAACGTCTCAGATTGTTTTGAGTCGCGCAGCTTCTGTCACGATATTTGCGATTCTAACCCTTGCGCATACGGGGGAAGCCAATTGATCAGCCCGAGAGTGCTACAGACAGCTGCAGAGCTACAGAAAGCTACAAGAAGCGAAACATCTGGTCTGAATCTTCAGGAATCGTGCCTCCGAGTTTTCAGCTACCCTGACGACCATTACGGCGGGCGCAACAAGTGGGGCGCGCGCAATGACGCCAGTCGGAAACGTGCGAACAACCCGATTTAGTAAGATGGGACTAATACGACTTCCAAAATTTTGTAACGAACGTTCACAACTGTTTGTGCCGTCAATATCTTCAGGTACCCCGTCGACCATTACGGCGGGCGCAACAAGTGGGGCGCGCGCGCGATCGCGCGCATGTGGTACGCCGCCATGATTGCCGCCTCGGGGATCCCCATGGCCTTCATGGGCACGGAGTGTCATCATGACGGCTGGTGGCACGTGGAGCAGAACCGGTGCTTCAACTGGTGGTTCGCAGGTGCCAGGTTCTAACCATCTTGTCCACTTCTTTCTAGCTAATCAAAGGCTTCTAGCCGAGCTTTTCAAAAGTAACCCTTGTTACATTGGCTTCTCTTCTTGCGAAGAGCAGAACCGGTGCTTCAACTGGTGGGTCGCAGTATGGTTATAAGCTCCTCCTTCCTTCTTTTCTTTCAAAGACTTCCGTCTGAGAGACTCTTGGAACCTTCCTTTCTTCGTCTTGACTTCCGTACCACGTGGAGCAGAAGCGGTGCTTCAAGTGGTGGTTCACAGGTACGGTATAACCTTCCCGTTCCTCTCTCTCTTTCGAAAGGCTTCCGTCTGAGCTTCTCAAGAAGCCTTCTTTTCCAATTCGGACTCTCGTCCCGCGTGGAGCCAAACCGGTGCATCAAGTGGGGTTCGCAGGTACGGTGTAAACCGTCTTGTCCATATCTTTCCATTTGAAGGCTTCTTTCTTGAGTGCTCTAACAACCTTCCTTTCTCTTTATACCTCGCCTGCTTGGAGCTGAACCGGTGCTTCAGCCGGTGATTTGCGGGTGCGATCTCTCTTCTCGCTCCCTTGTTTCTCGAAATGTGTTTACATGCCTGTCCCTGAGCTTCTGGAAAAGCTCTAATCTCTTTGTTTTGTCTTGGCTCTCGTCTCCTTTTTTGGAGGGATTGTCTCCTTCGCTTCAGATGGTTCGGTTGAGCAGAGTGCCTTTTTCGCCTTTGATCCCCGTCGTTCAATTCCGCTGAATGCCCCCTTTTGTTTGGGTTTTTCGTTGGAGAGTCCGACCCTGTTTGTATTCATTCGCGGACTGGAGATGTAACTCTGTCGCTTGGAGATTTCCATTTGCTTTAGTAATCAACCGTGGGCCCAGAGCTCAAATGAGAACAAGAACGTTCTTTAAAGTTCTGGTTGTCAAAGCAGAGAACGATGCAACCCGCTTCTCTGGTGCTTTGAGGTTCGTAAGCTTCCCCGGTGGAAGGATTCAATTCATTGAGTAAAAGAACCGCCATGCATGAGGAAAAGTACTTCTTTGCCGCGTACGACAGTAAGTACGATTGAACTCGAATCGACGGAATAGTTCTTGGACTGGGAATCATATTTCCTGGACTGAACTGAATGGGGAAAAGCAATTTGTTGCCGCGTACGATAGTAAGTACAAGTAAAGTTGATTCCACGGAACCATTCCTGGACTGAGATCCCTACTGCCTCTGCTGGCATTGAATGAAGGGGGCTCATCTTTTCGTGATTTGCGTTCATCTGTTAAACATCATCTGTTATAATATCAGCCCAGAACACGTTCCGCCTATCGTCTTAGGGAGGGCGCTAAACGAAGCAACCGTCTGAGACTCTTCCCATGAACCCTTGCTACATCTCCCTCCAGGGGATCCCTTGGGACAGGAGATGATGCGGCTGGTGACGTCAGCCAACACCCTGCGGACGCAGTCGCACGCGCTCGGCGCAGGGGGCTTCGACACGGTCCACTTCGACGACCATCACAAAGTGCTGGGCTTCAGGCGGGAGGTGGGTTACGTTTTTGACCCTCTCCCTAACCACCGTTCTCTCTTGGTTAACATGAAAACATGACAAGGCGCCGGCTTTGGAAGCACAGTGGGGGCATCTCCTAAGTCGTCTCCTAACCATTAGTTACCGAAGATTTGAGATCGTTCCGCCGCAATTTTTTCAAGACAATCATGATCCTGCTCTCCGAAACACTCTCGTCTGAGAACTTCGATAGCCTGTCATCATTGGAAGTACTTAAAGCCTAGGTCTTCTGAAGTATGCCGGCCCCTCTTCCAAGACGAAGCCCCCTACGACCAGCATGAATTCGCTCTTACCTCGTTCTTTCCTTGACCTCAAAGTTTGCCCCTCTTCCTTGTGCAGTCTAACGATCAAACACTGCTGGTTATCGTAAACGCGGGCGGTAACCAGTGGGAAAACAGTGATTACGGGGTCGGGGTTGGAGACCGGGGCATCGGGCGGCGCTACGTGGAGCGGTTCAACAGCCAAGACGCCAGCTTTGGCGGCTGGGAGGGGTCCGGAAACGCGGGCAGAGATTTGCACGAGCACGGGGGGCGTATTTACATCAACGTACCCAAGTGGAGCACGCTCATTTTCGAGGTTTTGTAAATACCTCCAACAGCTGGGACGTTTTGTGGCTTGACTGAAATTCAAAGGCTTTTGCCGCGCGGAGAGCTCATTGCTTTAGGAACACGAAGCTGTATTTACTTATTTATTAGGTACGCCTGCGAGCTGAAATGAGGCATATGTAAATAAACATTGTAAAGCCGCTTGAAGTTACCGTCATAGTCGTCGGTGCCACATAGATGTGGTTACAGTCGTGGTTTGGAGCGGATCTTTGCAAGCCCAAGGTGACAACCAGCGCTGATATGACGATAAGCAGCGAGTTGATTGGCGTTCACTGTGTTCACTGAGTCAAACTGAAGTCGAAAATTGCACGGTTCTCAGTCTACAATGAATTGGTCGATCGCAAAAATCTCTCATTATATTGTCGTTGCTAATGATCTAATGCCATGCTTGCATGCTGCATGGTATGCCGGCGCCATGAGCGCGGGCCCGCCGCGGCCGGCTCTGTACATGATTACTACTATAATGCATGTTGAATTTTGATACATCCGCGAAGACTTCCATATATCCAACAACTCATTCGTGAAACTCGGAAGCTCGAAATACCAACTTCGATCTCCAGGCATCGGGCTCACTGGCTAAGCTGCATGAAGTAAGTCTCAGTGTCGATCTAGAATATGTCGGAACAGGGCAGATTTCAAATGCTGTGCGGTCCCGGACCGTCGGGCTGATGGACCGTTGCGCATTCCTTGACACGTCATGTCCACCGCGGATCTGCGCGCCGCGCCTCGATCTTCGAGGCGGCCGGACGCGCCCGGCCAAGGCAAAGGCGCTAGCTAGCTAGTCTGGCAGGGTTCGGAAGGGTTTTATACCCGGGCCAGTCAGTTCAAGATGGCGCCCGCCCCATCATGCATAACCATGGTGCCCTTCTGGCAGTGTCAAGACAAAAATTCCCCGGACAAGCTGACTGCGCCAACTTAGAGGGCCGGTTTTGAAGCAACGGGACTCTGTCGTCTCCACCTCTGGTCTGCAGTTTCTTACCGGTTCTCAGGAAGTGTTTGACGTTCTTTGACGCGGTCAGTAAGCCCGGGTGGATATATTAACACTGTACAATGGTTAAACGTGCTACGGTCATTTGGCCCAATCTTGCAAACCCAGACCGTACTGCTGCAGCAAGCCGATCAGCTGAATTTCGACAGCTGCTTAGCTCGTTTGCTCGATATGACATTTCAGCAGCAGAGTCGAAGACATGGAGTCCTGAAAGGGTCAACGTGCATTGACATCAGCATTGCTGCTGGCTAGCACGGCACTAGGGCGGAGCTGCTGCTTCGGTTTCAACAAACCTCAGGAGGATGCAAATGCGTTGGAAGGTGTTGTTGATCATAAATACCTTTGAAGCGTCCGTTCTTCTTCCATCTGTCCTTTCATTGCGCGTCCTGAAAAGCCAGAGCGATCGTCTACACTACTGCCACAGGCTTGCTTGTGATGTTACGGGCGCTCATCGAAGTTGACATACCAACACCGCAGCAGACAATTGCATCTGAGAACTCCGTCGATGGCTCCGAAAGACACTAGCGACTCCGGAACTCCAAACAGCGCTGAACCTCACTCCAAATCAGGCTCAGCAACCAGCTCCGGTGACACAAACAAGTCAGACAAAGTGCACATAGTCATTGTGGGGTGCGGCCCCGCCGGACTGCTGCTTGCATTCTATCTGCTTGAGCGGGGTGCCGGACGTTTCCAGGTGTCTATCTTTGAGTCCAGGGAGGACCTCAGGGTCACTGCCAAGAGGGAGCGTAATGCGCGGCGCTACTCACTCGTCCTTGCTGTGAGTGCGGCATGTCTGAAAAGCCAGCGGATATGGTTCAGTGCCGCAACCTTGGCTGGAGTTTCCTTACTGTTGTTTGTTTCCAGCTCAAGTATGTTCACAGTTGTTTGTGATGCGCATGCTACGAAAGTTGCAACGACTTTGTCCTGGAAGAGTATGAGATAAGTAACCTCCTCCCTGCGGCGAGAGAAAGAACGCAAAAAGCGAGGAATTGATCAGACAAACTATGCCCCGAATGGAAGTGACTCATCCTTTGGGGCATCCTCTGCCTGCTTCGCAACTTGTCACGTACAATAAGATGGAGCCTGATTATTTGGATGAATACGCTTTGAGCTTGCTCAACTGACCAATGGAGCAAGCCAACAAGGTAGCAGAGTGTCAAGCGTTAGTGAACGTCTCCTTTACCCATTGAGCCACTGTATAGGATAGTACTTATAGCTCTGATCAACGTGCTGACCGCTTGCTGTGACTCAATGCAGTATCGAGGAAAGAAAGTACTGGCCAGGATTCCAGGCCTCTTGGATGCGATTAGGGAGATCTCCATTCCGTCTGACGAGCTCTACTTACATGTAAGCCTTCAGGGTAGATGCAGGGTTTCTCAGGGAACAGCCCTGCATTCAGTGCCTCCTAGCTTGAGAGGCATTTCGGCAAACTAGGATGTCCTGTTACATCTGTAAGTCCATGATCTACGTATGCTTTCTTTTTCAAACTTCGATTTACATGTGAGAGCTTCATAGAAACAAGGAGCGGTAGTTTGCTCGGCGTTCAGATGGCTTCTGGTTGCCCTTTCGGCCTGGGCCCCCATTTCCCCCTAGCTGTTCACCACTATGTATCCACCTTTCTCGTCGAGTTTTCTTCAGTTTGTTGGGGGTTTATGTCATCGTTTCTTTCGAGGATGATACGGCTTCTACATTAGAACGCAGTTTGGGACACGAGCTCCAGCTTCAGAAATGCTTCTCGTTCCATTTCCCAGCTCATTAGTGTGTTGGCAGGCGAGCTTTCAACCGCACAATAGCCCTCTTTGCGTTGAAACTCTGCTTCACACTACCAGGGGACCTGGTTTTTATCAAGCAACATGCATTTAGTACACCTTGGATAGGTGTACTGTCTTGACTCCGTTGATTACGTGCTTCATTTGTGGTCAATCATTTCGCTTCCGAATCCACTCCCTCTCGAGAGCCTTACATCCCGTTGACCCCTGCTTTAATCCACCCCGGCAATCCAGGTGATAAAAAAAGTTGTTAATCACCTATGAAGACCAAATCCCTATATAATATGCCCGGAGGACCGGTCGAGTTGGTATGGTAGTCAGGGTCGGTTCAGGTGCGTAGCGCATTCATGTTCGTTGGTTAAGGTGGTTCAAATGAGGCCACTGCACCGGGTACCCTCTTGTCAGCATAGAATGTTTTGGTTAATAAATTCTGGTTTATGGACGCTTATTGGTCCTTATTAACTTCATCAAAGATTCCAGGTGGGCAAGTATGTCGGGGCGCGCGCGTTCAAGCTGGCCGGCGTGCCACCCGGTGTGGAGAATGCAGACGACATGATCGGACTGAACGTCGACCGCGCCGATCTGTGCGCCGCGATGCTGAGCTACCTGATGGAGAGGCACGGCGACTCGGGCCTGCTCTCGGTGCACTTCTTCAAGAAATGCACGGGTTAGTATCTCTCATAATCTCACTCAGTGATGGTCGCTTTTCTTCACGCCTCACAACCAAGTTGTGATTGTACTGTTCTTTGTGCTACTAGGCTAACTACCTCTAGGAAAGGCACGGTGACTCGGGCTGCCTCCCTGTGCCCTGCTCAAGAAATGCACAGGTTAGTGATTTGGTGTTGTAAACCCAACGATCTGAGTTGGTTATTCTTGGGCAGATCGTGGATCTTTGTCGCAAGGCTGAGGACAAATTGGAGAGGCACAGCAACTCGGGCCTACTCATGGTGCACATCTTTCGTAAGATATACAGGATGGTGACCTGCTGCATAAGCCCAAGCAGTGAAAGTCGGTGTTTTCTGGTTCAGTGGACACAAAATCGCGGACCGCGCTGATCTTTGTGCCGTGATGCTGAGATACCTGCTGATGAGCCACGGCGACTTGCAGTACGATTTTCCGAAGACAATCAAAGCACCAAAAAGTGACCAGTTTGGTGGAAATGACCAGCGGAACAAACTTCTGACTTCTGATTTCTACAACGCTCTCTCTTTGGTAGATTGTCAGTAGCCTTCCCCCCCCAGCTTCGAACAAGGCCTCCTTCAATCTTTTTAGACGACAAATCCGTCCTTGCTGTTCTCGTTGACATTCAGTCCCCAAAAAGGAAAGCTTTTCTGACAAGTATCGACTTTCAGAAACGCGAGGCGCTGTTCGAAGACGTGAAAGTGAACATTGAGGCGCAGGGCAACGAGGTGAACGTCATCCCCGGACAGGACACGTGTCAAGCTACGACTGGCGCTCCTCTGCAGAGAGTTCCGTACGACCTCGTTGTGGGTGCTGACGGTGAGCTGACGTTGTTCCTGTTTGCGGAGACCACATTTCGTGCGCGTCAGTTCTTATACGAGTCGCTTCAGAATGTTCTCACTGATGCACACATTTGTCGACCTCAGTATCGTTTAATCTGCAAGTTTGCAAAGGGCTGGTCGATAAAACTTTGTAGCGTCAATCCATAAGTCACCGAGATTCGAAGAACCGGACTCTGTGAACACTGAAGGTCGACCCAGTGAAACCTTTGTACTTTCGTCTTTCCAAACCCCTAGAGCTGTGCTTGACAAGTGCTAAGATACTGGGCGTTCTCCACAAGTTCAAAACTTCGACCTTTTGAATCCGTCCTATCCTCTGAACACATGGACCTTAATCCTCTCTGCTTAACTGTGAAACCCCTTAACCCGATACCCTGAGCCCCCAAGATTCGAATTTCATACAGGCGTGAATTCTGCTGTCCGCCACAGCTTCACCCTGCTGCCGCGTGGCTTCGACTGCTCCGTGACGGACCAGTTCAGCCGCGCGTACATTCTGCACGTGCGACGTCCCCCCGAGATCAGCCCCTCAGGTGAACGGGTTGAGGGTTTTCTTCATTGCTATATGGACGTTCTAGCATCCCCTCGATTTGAGTTTCAATACGTACCGCCTCCCTATATCTTCGCTTGCTTCTTAGGGCGATAAAGGAAACGCCAGACCTTTTGCAGTTGATGGGGTTGGTTCAGGAGGTACGGTTGAGAGTACGATGCGGATTGCTTCGTTTTTTGCGGTTTGGAAAGTGGATTAACCTGACCCTCGTTTCCAGGCTCCTCCTACATGAACCACTCAGTGAGAACGATGGGTTTTATTTCACATCAGAAACCAAAGGGTATCATACAATTCCCTTCTGGTCCGTCTCATATGTCGATGTGATTGGGCTTGGGATTACGCCAACCTTGTCTTTACATCACTAGTCTTAAATTGCAAGCAGACCCCATTGCAGTCACTTGAAGTCAAGTATCGTTCCTGAGTCTGCCAACGCTGCAGTCCGGCATGCTATCACAAACCCCGTTCGCAAAGCTCATCGCCCTTCTCACGCCCAATTCGCCAATTCTGGATCCCAAGGCGTCAACGCCATGCTCCATACAGTCGTTTCTTTGTCTCTTCCGCTTTATGGAGAAAATGCGGGTCAAACCATTACATTACCAACCGCCTTCAGCGTATCCAGGTTGGCAAAACGTGACTATGCTAAAAGATTTCATCAAACTTCGCGGGCTCCAACATCGTGCTAAGATTTCCTTCCAGTCCAGTCGTTTCGCTGCGTCTTCGACAAATCAAATTGATGGAAGACGAGACGCAGCGGCCTGGCAGTGTTTTTCCAGACCTACTGATAAGTCATGATTGGTTTCCTCAATTTCGCAGGCTTCAACCTCGTTCCCAAGATTCCGGACGCCCAGTCCTTCCGCTGCCTCTTCTACCCCAGCGGACAGAAAGCGGAATCCATCAACCTGGCGCTCATCTGGCCCGTCAACGACCCCCCCGTCGAGTTCCTGGCTATGAAGGATCCGGCAGAGATGACGTCATGGTTGCGTCAGCGACTGCCGTTCCTGGATCTGCAAGAGAGTGCGGCGCAAGACATCCTGGCCCAGAGAGTCGCGCAGCTTCGTATGGTGAGGACACGTGTCAGATGTCGAAAGAGAACACAACGGAATAAAGCAGAAAAACTTCGTCTTTTTGATCAAGTCTGGCTTATTAGAAGTGCTGTTGCCGTCACTGAGGATCCGATATTCTCTTTGCAAGACTCTTTATGCAAAAGAGGATGAGAACTTGGCGCAAAAGGATTTGACAGAGCGACTGATTGATCGAGGCTGCGTGAAACCCGAGCAGGATCTGAAGATGTTGCTTATTCAATGAAGCTCTAAAAGCAGCAGGCTCTGTTGCAAGTAAGACCCTGCTTAGGCAGGCACTTGGTCTTCAGACGGAAGTACGACCGAAAGTCACTGAAAGAAACGAGTCTCGGAAGTGGATCTGGTGCTCTGTTTGGCTTCTTTCTCAGCTCTGGGGGCTGTTAGCTTTTGGCTATGCCAACCTTTATCTTTCCGTGATTCGAGCGATGCAGTATGTTTGCAGCCCCAATAACGCATCCCCGAGCACAAGAGTCCGATTCTCGTTTTTTCCCTTTCTTTTCCGCTTTCCGCTTTCCGCATTTCATCTGCCCTTCAGAACCCCCGACGTGCGTAAGGTGCGCCACTCAATTGCTATAAGAACTCAACAATCTGACGTCAAGCAGCACAACCCCGACCCCTGAATCACATTCCGTGGTCAGAATCCGTTCCTTCTTCCGACAGGTGAAATGCGAGCCGTATCACCACTCCGAGGGGGGTGCCGTCCTTATCGGCGACGCAGCCCACGCGACCCCCCCGGCGATCGGCCAGGGGTGCAACTCGTCCCTGGTCGACGCCGCCGTTTTGGCCCGGCTTTTGCTCGGGGAATCGGTCGGGGAAGACGACCGGTTGGAGACCAAAGGGATGAAAGATGGGCTTGGACTGCTCGGGAAACGCGACCGGTTGAAATCTGTCAACCAGAAGAGTGGACTTGGCCTGCTCGGGAAATTGGCGGTCGGGGAAGACCACCGGTTGGAGAGCGAAAATAAGAAAGATGGGCTCAAAGTGCACGGGGAAGCGGTCGGGGGAGACGACCGGTTGGAGGCTGCGTCCGCAAAGGCCTCGGACGCTGCGCCGGGCGGACGTACGGAGATTCTGGAGCGGCTGCCGCGGGCGCTCGCGAGGTATTCGGCGCTGCAGGTGCGTCCGAAACGGCCGGTGTTTTTTCGGACGTCTTTGGACGGTTCCACAAGCCTGTGTAGATTTCTTTTGGCTCATCTCGTCGAAGGGTTTTGAAACAACCGGGTTGGCAGACCAAATGGTCAGAGACATTCTTTGATTTTAGACCAGCTCCCGCTTATGTCCGCAGGTCCCGGACAGCCATGCTCTGGTTTAGTAATTGGAGCGGCCTTCGGAGACTTGTCCTCCATAAAGCTGGCACACAATGAGAATATCAGGAACGCAAGTTTTTCGCTTCAGGTTCTCCATCATTGTTCAACCTTTCGAACGTATTGGGTCTAAGAACGCAGAAAGCCCAAGTATGCCAATAAAGGAAAGTAGACACCCGACAGATTGCAGGTCCCCAAGGAGCATGCGTTGGTCGGCGCATTCGAAGCCGAGGGGTCTCTCAAGTTCCTCTTCGGCCCTGTTTCAGGCAGTGCAGCAATCTACCTTCGTTCTCAGGTATCCAACATGATTCAACCTCTCAAGCGTTGCAGCCGGGAAAGCAAAAGCCAGAAATGACTACCAAGCGACACGATAACAACGAATTCGCAACCTCCTAAAGGCCATGCTTTGATTGACAGTTCCCTTACGAGGTTTCGTTCCCTCGACAGCCGCCAGGAAAGCAGAAGCCCGTTATCGAATTCTCAACAAAGCAAACAACTGATGATTCTGCAAATCCTCGAGGGTCACGCCCTGATTTACTGTTCCTGCGCCGAGGGCCCCTCATACTCGCCTCCGTCTCTTCTTCCGGAAACGCGACAGACCAATCAAAGACGTCATTCAAAGCCTTTGGGCTCTCAACGTAAAGCGGCCGATCCAAAAGAAGACCGTCAAGCAAAACAACAACCGGTGATTTCGCAGGTCCCGCGAGGGGCATTGCTCCAACGCTGAGGGGTCTCTCAACTTTTTCCTTCGCTGCTGTTTTTGTGTAACGCGAGAGACCAACACGTTCGTCCTGCGCTGTTTTAGGTTCCCGACAAGAGCCAAATCCTCACTCGGGAAGGCCTTCGCCGATCTGAGGACTTACCAAGCAATACGACAACAAACGGACATCCAGGGGTCCGAGGGCCATGCCTTGGTTAACTGTTTTCTTACAAGGCTTCAATTCCCTCAACAGCGGCCAGAAGCCCATCATTGAGTATTCAACCAAAGGAACACCTGGTGTATTTGCAGGTCCCCGACCGAGGGCCACGCCCTGGTTGACTGCTCCGATGCTGAGGGGTCTTGCACATTCTTCTGTTGCTCTTTCAAGGCAGCGCGACAATCCGTCCTCCGCTTTTTTCAGGTTCTCAACGAGACCTGACCCCTCAACGTACAGCGGCCAGTCAAAGCAAAAGGCAAGGATCGGATTTCCAGATCAAGCAACAGCGGACTATTTGCAGGTTTCGGGTTATGCTTTAGTTAACTGCTTTCGGTCAAGGTTTTGATTATCTCAAAGCTGAAACTCGATGGTACATTTGGAAGCAAACAACCGGTGATTGCGCAGGTCCCCGAGGGCCACGCCCTGGTCGACTGTTCCGATGCTGAGGGCCCTCTCGACGCGCGTGTCGGCTTCTGGCACGCCCTCCGGCGTTTCGTCACCGGGGCGCTCTGGCGGCTGTTTCCGTGGCTCGTGTCCCCCCCGATAATGTTCATGGCCGGGTTTGGGGCCAACTTCTCGGACGTCCGGCGGATCCATGCGGGGCAAATTGAGAAGATCCTGGCAAGCAACGAGAGGGTGAAGGCGCAGTGGCGGGAAGCGCAGGCGAAGAAGGTCTTAGCGGGCGGGGTGTGATGTACATATTGTCCGGACGTTTCAGCAGTTGCCGAAGCTATTGGTGACAGATAGATCTGAGTGCGATTCCCTCGAACAAATTTTTGAGCGCATCCACGAGCATCAAATTGATGTTGTGTCTCTTTGAGAAATGGCCTCTACGGCCCGCTTTAATGTACAGAAGACATCGTAGCGAGGCCTGATAAGAGGCCAGCATGAGGTTGCGCCATACATGATTCAACAAAGTACTGGGGCTAAATCTGAAAGTACAAGACAGGCTGAGAGACATACCGTCCATATGTTGACCTTACGTCTAAGGAACGATTAACGGATCGTCTAGTACCGTAAAGTTCTGGCAACGAGCTGACTATTAGGGTATGTAAGTAATGTGACGTCGAGGGACCTGTTCAATCTAGTGAATCACTCGACTGAATAGACTGAGTGAGACTCGTCATCGGACTTGACTGTGGTTTATCAACTTGTACAAATACGCTAATGATATATCCAGCTAGTTGAATACCCATGCACTGATCAACGTGTGGACCGTCGGTCTCTCAATATTCCATTCACTGATTGCATGGATGCCCCGCATGCGATCATCTACTTTCAAGCCTTAAGGTTTCTCGCGTGCGGTCACTGTCACTGTCCAAATACAATTATAAAAGCGGACCGGTACTAACCACCTGTACGATGATAAGTCTGCACTGCGTATAGTATGCAGAGTTGTATCTGGGCATGCATGGTAAAGCTGATGTCTGCAACGGGCCAGAAAAGCGAAAAGCTCCCAGTATCTCCATGAGTTCCTGAGCGGGGGCAAGGCTCATACTTACCTAGCTAGGCCCATTCAAGCAATCATGTTAATTGTTTTCAACAAACACCGTCACTGGTACTAGGTAAATGGCATATAAGCTGTAATCCCCAAGTTAGCTGTTCATGCCCGGACCGACTCTGGGAATTGTGTTGGCTTCAGTCGAACTCAATCCTGATTCGAAGGGAAGTTGCCAGGGATGAACTTTTGTACTACACGTACGCTGCACGTCCGCAGTCATCTGACCATGCAACGAGCTAATGTCTCACTCTGAGGTGGTAAAGTCCGGTCCTCGCCCAGCTGACACACAAAACACATACACATCTGACACATGACACAAAATTCTGACAACATCGCCGGCTTTTGCGCCCCTTTCTTTTTTAAATCTGCAAAACACATCCTTTGTACTTCGACTTTTGCTCCTTTAATTAGGGTCCATTGGCATGGAGCGCTCGCCTTCTCACGCGAGACCCGGACTCGGAGGGACCTGGGTTCAAATCCCAGATGGGCACTCCTTTTCTTCTCGCAAAGCCTCGGTACATGGCACGCACCTGGTCGGACTATTTGTCAGAATTTCAGAAATTTGCTGATACGACCCTATTATTGTAACGCAAACCCACTCCTTGTGTTGACACTGGACGGTGTTCCTTCAAGGCTAGGTGTCAGAGCGCAGGGTTAGAACTTAGTTGTGTTGGCCTTGTCCGCCTAATGTATCTCAGGCTCAGCCTCTCACAGTACGGATGTCAGGGGGATTGCAATTTTAATTTGCAGCTACTACTACCTTACTACGTAGTACGGTCTACCCTACGCTCTGTGCCGGTTACTTCTTGCCGATTACTGCTTTGTCATGATTGGTGCTCTGGTAAACTTTGCTGCTTTTAACCGGTCACTATTGGTGATGTCAACATACGGTACGCCCCGCGCGGTACATGTGTCAGTCAAGGCTCTACTAGTAGGTACCGTACATGTACTTGCCATATCAGACATACCGGTAACCGTACAAGGTACCACCAGCAAGAATGTACAGTACAGGGGTGCTGGCGGGGCGCAAACGGGGCGCAGAGCGCCCCGGGGCAAATGCTGGCGCCCCCGGGCGGAAGCCCGGGGCGCCAGAGCGCCCTGGGCCGTAGGCCCCGCCTACTTTAGCAAGGTAGGTATGTGTCCAGGCCGCCTCAACCGGGAACTTTGAAACGGTACGAATATCAGAGCATTGCATTGCACATATGAGGACACAGAGGAAGCATATGGTCCCAGGATCAGGGGATAAGCACCCAGAAAACAGTCCAAACGACAGCAGGATTCCAAGTCGAGCCCTTCAAAGCCCTACATATCATAACGTCAAACATTATACTCGTAAGGATATATATGCTTCATTGTGTTCTTTGGTCATGTGTAGAATTTTGAATACGCCGGGGGACACGGTTCTTTTTGACTTGTGCCGACTGCTTGTACTGTAGACAAACGTCTTGAGCAGCCCAAGGACCGGTATGCACGAATTTGGCTCGGTGAAACACAGGTTTTCGCCAAATACCCGGGAAAATATTGTACCGGGCGCTGGCGCCGAGGCCCCGGCTGGCTTGGGCGCCCCAGGGGAGCTGGTCGGCGCCCCGGGGCGAAGCCCAGGGGCGCCACAGCACCTCCGGGCAAAATCCTGTCCGCACCCCTGGTACAGTACCTACTGAGTACCGACCTGCTCATGTACGGTCACTACGGTACCGTACTTTAACCAGTAACCGGTACTAAAGTTAAACTTGCGGCCTGCAGGCACACGTACGCTCCCGGTATGGGGGACGGTATGTCATAATTGGGGCCCTCCTACTGTAGGTAGCTGATATTACATAGGTATCTACCATAGGCAGGTACGGTAGCTACTACCGTACCAATTGTCCGGTTGGGCAGATTTTTGCCCAATAATTAATTTCGTATCTCATGGATTTTGGGCAGCTTCATTTATGCATTTACATTGTTTTCTAACGGGGCAAACTGATCAGCAAATCCTTAATTGGAATTTATTTTCAATTCAAATTTTTGGGCAAGTCAAAGAATATTTAATTGTTGCCCAACCGGACAATTGGTACGGTAGGTACTGTTACCTGCTGTACCTAATACCTAGTCGTGGCAAAGTTGATTTCGCCAAACCCAGACTCCAGAGGGCGCCTCGATCAAGATCAAGCAGCAAGATCAGCAAGCCGCAAGCCCCTCCTCCCTTGAATTCCTTATTCGAGTTGATGACTGCTAGATAAAGCCGGCTGTTATCGCCGAGCAGCTAGGCATCCACTGATTTATCACTGTAGAATAGGCGTGATCGCAAGAGGCGGCGCAATGGCTGCGCCAGCTTCCCGGCAGGTGATCTTGGTGGTGGCGCTCTTCCTCGTATGCTGCATGAGTGAGGTGAGCGATCGCTCCTATCGACCATCAGCAACTCCGGGATGATTTTGTCATCAATTTGCTCCTTGTGCTATGCCTTCCTGCCTTTCTGCGTTTCTGCCAGGATGCTGTGGGCATTTCTGCAGGCTAAACAATGCTGGCAGTGGTGCATTGGATGAAAGCCGGTTCAAGGGCAAGACGATACGACGACCAAGCGCCATTGCACTTCCACGTCTGGACCAATATGACTTCTCCTGCGTCATGAGTGTTTGGTATGAACATCCAGACGTGCAAAGTGCTAGCATCGAAAGGGCATTGTGTGCAAAGTCGTCAGGAGAAGACTGCTAAGGCATGCACAATCAATCGTCAGAATGTTGCAAATGGATTTTATGACACCAGCATCTGGCACTTCAATGCTCGCAAAATCTCCTTGGGTCCTCGTACTGTTCCTCGCCGCACGGCATCAATCCTGAAAGCTGATGAAGAAGATGCATGCACAGTGGAATCAAAGCAGGGGCCACACTTTGAGAGGTTAACGCTGGGATTGCTGAATTGCACAGACGACGTGAAGAGCTCGGGTCATCAGAATTCTATTGTGGAACAAGGTTCCAGGCGCGTATTGTGACGTTTCGTTCATTGTCTCTGGTGATGATCATGGGAGCTTGTTGGTGACTACTTCAAAGTGCACAGGTTGCTAGACTCGTTTATGGCTTTGGGTCCCTTTCCAAATCCTCTCATTGGCCAAACTACTTCAAGAGTGCACAGGTTGCTGGACTTGGTTACTCCTTTGGGTCCCTTTTTAAATTCTGTCATTGACTGAGCCTTGCGACACGGTACGCAGGTGGTTTGCGCTCAGCCCAGCCTGCAGAGGATGACCTTTTGGACCAAGGGCAATGCAAGCTACGGCCTCTCGCGCCACGTCCCCGTCTGGTTTGCCGACAAGCTCCGTAATGGTGAGCAAGGCCTCCACAACACAGCATTTATTGGTGGTTAAGCATAGTCGGTCAGGGGCTGATTCGAAGCTGACTGAGTAATCATTGACCAGACTCGAGCAGTGACCAGGTTTTTAACATGGCTCTAACTCGGTTATTGGTCAAAGAGCCAGACTGAAGTTTGGTTTTCGAACCTGGTTAGCAGCTAAACCTTCCCGTGAAGCCAGCAGCCACCACACAGAAAAATGTTGTAGGAGATTTTTGCCCGGCAGCTTAAGGTGCTTTCAACGATTATTGCTGATGTAAGTAGGCTTTGCAGCGGGCACAAATAAGCTTCCCAGGTCAGTCTACTTGTTGAAATTGAAACCCACCTAGGGAGGAGAAGTCGTTGTATGCCTGTCATACTGGCCTTCTCAGGCTACACACACCTCCCGCAACTAATAGCGGACCTAAAATCGAGTCACAAGAAACAACAGCGTCTAGCCTGTGCTTAACCAGAGTCTAACCGTGGACCTGGTTAAGCACTGGCCGGTTAGATGCAGATAGATTGGTCAAGTACTGGTTAATTACCTTCTAAGTTGGTCTACTTAGGAGCTAGCTAAAGCGGCTTCCTGTGGGCAGAGCCGTCACTTGGCAGATGGCGACCAGTTCTAGTACCTAATCGTGTCTGGAAACTTCGCACTAAATGCCGACGTCTTACTCTTTCTCGGTCAGGTGACACCGACACTTTTAACGACGACCTATTCGATGCTGACCAGAGCGACTTGACCAGGGGCAGCAAGATTGGCTACCAGGCGGGCACCTGTGTTCTCACGTCTACCCCCGGGGATGGGTCGGACCGGGTGAGCTAAACCGGATGTCTCCTCAATCTAGGTAAAGTAAGCTGTACGTATAGGAACACCAGAGTAGTGAACGCTGAAATGATTAATCATTCAATACCACCGACGAATGAGCAGTTTTTGAAGGCAAGCTCCTACCCGAACACCAAAAACCTAACCCTCAAAATCTCCCGCTCCGTATCCGTACCCACCCTAATTCCCCAAACTAACCCCACCCGCCCCAGGCCGCTTGGCTTATTTTGCTCGAAGCATACTCTACCTAAATTCACGTCCTATCTACACTGGACACACAGGAAGTTTTCGGACGCTTGATGAATGGACGATCATTCCGGCATACACCATATTCGCTTCAGATAAAAGGGCACTGAAACACTATCAACGACGAGATCTGGTCAATAGTGACCTTTTCCGCACGGAAGACGTCTTTTCCAAAGTTAAAAGTATGTCAATTTGCAGCATGTTTGTGACGGTTGGACAGGGTCACACGCTGCCTGTCTACTTCACATGTGCGGAAACCATGCGAAGCTTCTCAGCACGCCTTGGGATCACCTCGTGCAAGAGCGCCTCTCAGAAAAATTGCGTCTTCTTGCCTTCTTCCCAAAGACTGATTAGTTAGGACTCACGAAGAGGCTCC